GTTATTTAAACCCAAATTACCTTTCTGTCAGTGCCCTGTCGTGGTTTCCCTTTGATGGTTATCCGAGAGTGTGTTCCTGATCGTGTTTTTCTGGTTTTTGACTTGTTTTTTTCCTCGTTCTGTGTCCCTGACCTCGGCAAGTATTTTGACTATTCTCTGGTACGTTAAGTCCAGCCATTCTAAGGTCCGGTTAGATGTCATCCTTAGTCCTAGGTGTGATACAATTCTGCGTGCTGGATCAACAGTAATATGTCAGTAATTTAGAAAACCTTTTCTTTGGTCACAGTTCATGTCACGTCCTTGAACTACTATTTACCAAAAAGGTCTAAAAGCAGTAGAATTTTTTATTTAGAACAATTTTCTTTATTTTACAGTGAAGCATATGTATTCTCTTTTGAATATTTTGGAATTTTTGTGCACACAGTTATTTTTTTATAGTAGATAGGTAACTTTATTTCCAAAGGTATGGCACTTCAATAAGGGCAACATTTGCCGCACTCTTTGATATCTATATGGTGTTTTGGTGAAGAGTGCCACGACTTTGGAGATGAAAATATTTTAAAAATACAATACCATATGGTGTGGTTGTTACACTGATTATCTTAATTTAATTTGGAATGTAGGACAAAGGTTTTGAAATACACATCATTTTATAACAATTACCTAGATGTGAAGATTATAGAGGGTTTTCATAAATTGAAAAGATTGAAATATTGGATTTAGCGTTTTGTGGGGATTGCAGCAGACAGGAAATTGTAACAAAATCTTATAGAAAAATAACAACAACTAATACTCTATTACAAGCAACCAGCTGCCAACTGAGGCATACTTTCTCAAATATCCCAGTTGGGGAATTTGTAAGGTTACACAAAATTTGTACAAGGTTGGGGATCGTTGAGGTCAGTGATATTTAGTAAGAGATTTGACCTAAGAGGATATCCCAACAAGTTATATCAATAAAAGGTTAACAAATATTATTTAGCAAATGTACATAAAATACAGTTGCTTCGAAGCTGAAGAAGAGATGACGCATTGGAGAGTTGGAAGTACTTAGTGTCCAGTGGTTTAGCACTAGGAAATGTGTTCCAAAAGGAAGCAAACTTCCAATGAAGAATTCAGTCTACCCAATCATTTACAATCTCCTGAAATAAATCACTGGAGGACCCTCCAGTTACCCATTGTGTCAGGCATTGGGTCAGGGTGGGTGGAGTGGCACCTTCAACCAATTTCTAGGAACCTTAGAGGCTATTTGAGGGGTTCAAAATTAGTTTTGTTTCATCTTAGTACACAACATTGTTAAGAACAGTTTGCACTGGCCATTGGCCATGGCTTATTTCCAAAGGTGTAGCACAGCAATGGGGACAACATTTGCCTCACTCTTGGTGCATTGGTAAACAGTGCCACATTTTATAAAAATGTTCTACATTTTAAGATTACAGTGATTTTTGATGAGCAAAAGATCGATTTCTTGGATTTGACTCTTTGTGCAGGAACATTTTAACATCCTATTACTGGCAAACAGTTATTCTCAAGTATCCAAATAAGGAAGTTTATAAGGTTACAAACTTGGACATCATTGAGGTCCAGTCAGTGACATTTATTAATAAACTTCACCAAAGAGTTTATCCAAACAATTTATATCAAACTGTAAATAGATTGCTATTAATAAATGTAAAAATATACGAGAAGTGGGGTTGTTAACATGAATTTCTTATTAAATTTGTTATCTAATCTAATCAGGCTCCCAACTCTATCCCTTTAATCAAGAGGGCTTCCCTCTTTATTTATTTATTCTTTTAATTATATTGACTCCTTTTCACCTATCTATACCTTGAAAGAAAATATTGTTCCAATTGCCAACATTTCTAAAATGGTGAGACTGACTTTTGTTTTGCATTTGTGGATATAATATTGTTAAGATACTCCATAATCTGAGTTTTCAGACTGTTTTGTCTGCCCAATGTATGTACTATTTTTGACACATTTTACTGGTAACCGAATTGCATTACCCATTCTGTGCTGCAGTTTTTAAACTACCAACCTTAAACTTAAAAAAACAAACAAAAAAAAACCCACAAAATAAAAAAAATCATCTCTTCTCATTTGCAACGTCTGTATTCATTCTCATCCACATTTAAATGTCCCCTCAAGGGACCACCATTTAATAAGGGATATATCCATTTTAAGGGTTTTTTGACTGAGCATCTTATTTCTGCCTTCAAATATTAAAGATATTTGTCTATACATAAAATAGGCAAATGGTTTCTCTTGATATAACAGGACATTTTGAACTAGAATTCCTATGAAATATAGGTATTCTGTCATAATCTTTGTAACCTTTACCAGCAGCAGACTTCTGCATACTTTTATGGATCACTGAAAATGAGTCTAAATTTTAGACAATTCATAAATTTGTCAAAAACAAGCATGAATGAATCACATTTTGCACAAAATAAACAAAAACAAAATCAGATGATGGACAAAATGAGTCTATGTAATTCCAATTAAAGAGCTACTTGCTTCTTCTGTGTAATTTAATACTTTTAAAAAAGGAAGCAGACTGTACTTAATTTAATGGTGGATACCTGGTGCCAGCTCTGATCCCGTGAACTGTAGGATGGGAGTGTAGGTACATTTGGTATGGGGTACCCCTCGTCCATGGGGGTGAGGCAGATCCATACCCCATCACTCCTGCCTGTTTGTGACAGAAGTAGTGCAACTCGCCAGCAATGAGAGAGGTTAAAAATAAAATTGCTTTTCCGAATGTGGTTTGCCAACAAATATTTGCAAATTAAATTCAGATTAACTATTAATGCTTTAATGAAATCGGATTCACCCAATATTTTTTTTTTTTTTTTTTTTTAATGGACAAATGGATTTGGGTGAACTGAATTTTGTTTCTGTGCACAAGTGTAATCAGTAATCTAAAAAAAGAGGGAAGCCCTCTCGATTTCGAAGTGTGAGACACATTCTCCAGATGGCATTAAAAATAGAATCTTAACACAGTATTCAGAATGTGAATTATTTTTTTTTTTTTAAATCACAAGTCTTCTAACCGTGATTACTTAGAAACAACAGTGTCTCTTTATTATTATTTATATAGCGCCAAATTCCGCAGCGCTAGTTTAATTATTTATAAAATTTGTATTATATTTTGTATTATTTTTTTAATGGACATATCGGTTGTACATATCGGTTGTATCGGTTGTTATATGTTCGGCATTCGATAAGAAACAGTTATGCTTGTTATGGAAGGAAGATCCTTCACGGAAAATCAACTGTAGGAACAATGGATCATAAATTGAGCTTGATTACGTAAAATAACAGTAGGTCTTCTGCAATCCAGTCACTTACATTACAAATAAAATAAGCAGTGTTTTTAGTTCACTAAAGTCATTATAGTTTTATATTAAAGGACCACTATAGTGCCAGGAAAACATACTCGTTTTCCTGGCACTATAGTGCCCTGAGGCTGCCCCCACCCTCAGGGACCCCCTCCCGCCCGGCTCTGGAAGGTGGAAAGGGTTAAAATCTTACCTTTTTCCAGCGCTGGGCGGGGAGCTCTCTTCCTCTGATCCTCCTCCGTTCCTCCTCCTGGGCTGAATGCGCACGCGCAGCAAGAGCTGCGCGCGCATTCAGCCCGTTGCATAGGAAAGCATTTACAATGCTTTCCTATGGACGCTTGCGTGCTCTCACTGTGAAAATCACAGTGAGAAGCACGCAAGCGCCTCTAGTGGCTGTCAATGAGACAGCCACTAGAGGATTAGGGGGAAGGCTTAACCCATTCATAAACATAGCAGTTTCTCTGAAACTGCTATGTTTATAAAAAAATGGGTTAACCCTAGAAGGACCTGGCACCCAGACCACTTCAATAAGCTGAAGTGGTCTGGGTGCCTAGAGTGGTCCTTTAAGCTTCATATATGCAGGGTAGTTTGTGTGATGTTTTATTTCCATATAAGACAGTGTTGTCTCTATAAGTGAGTTTTAGATATTGATTGACCAGTGGATATAAACACGGAAAATGCTAGGCTTTATTTATGTAAATAGGGGTGGAATATAACCCCATATACCAAAAAATAAAGACAGAGTTATACCTTTAATAATTTCTTTATGAATCCAGTATTTGCATTTTTGTTCCCTAAGGTAGAAAATAGAAAGACTAACGTACGAGGTACAGAAAAAAATAAAAAAATTCTGCATTTAATAAAATAATGTATTGATTGTTAACATGAAGTTCTGATTAAAGTTATGATGTAATCAGGCTAATCTATCCCTTTAATTAGAGATGAATAGCAAAAGTTTATACAATCCAATTTCAAACATACCAAACCCTGACATTAGCGCAATTGTCCTGACATTACAATCATTATATTTCTTTACACAAAGGGAGTTGTATGTATTTTACCAACAGCCGGAGGAGCTAGATTTGGAAACAAAACTATTTTTAAGGTGCATACGGCATTGACAATTAGTACGCCAAACATGAATGGCATGTAAGCATATAGATCCACTAACTTCTCAGTTGGTGGTAGGTTTTCTTACTGTCGCCAATTTATGTGTCCAGTAAATTACCCACCAAGTTATTTGTATTGGTTCTCAAACATATTTCTAGCCAAAGTGTAATCAACACTAAAAATAGTGTTACAAACAAACAAGTCCTGCGCTCAAACTCCCATCACTCCTGGGCCGCAGCAACGACCATAGTGCACATCAGCCCCAATACATACAGTATTATATGTATACTGTATGTATTGGGGCTGATGTGCACTATGGTCGTTGCTGCGGCCCAGGAGTGATGGGAGTTTGAGCGCAGGACTTGTTTTTTTGTATTTGCATTCACTTTTGTATCACACAGCTATGTTACAATGCTGCTGCCCATCCCATGTGTTCCCTATTAGGGGTTAATAAGTATATAGGGATGTATATAAAAAATACCCTTGTCTCATTAGAGATATCGTTGTCAGAAGCTCAAGGAAGCAAGGTGAAAGGTTAGTGAAGGGCCCACCTGAGAGGTTTGCCTTGACGTCGCAGGTGGGCTAAAATCTCTCATGGCCACTGGAGAAACTAAACCTCCATTTGTTTAAATATGCATAGGGATTTGGGAAGAGCGCAGGTAAGTTTTTTCTTTGGATTTTACTAAAAATAGAGTGTTTGCTTTCATTTAGGGGATTTAACAAACAGTCAATTGTGAATTGAAAAACAGTTTGTTTTTTTAAAGATAATTTTGTTGGTAAAAAAAAATACATATACAAAAATCTAATTCACCGCAGTGGCGGATCCGGGGGGAGAACGGGGCAATTGACCCCCCGAGGTTCTCCCCTGTCGGCCAGTGTCCAAGTGCCAGCCCTGCAATGTGCCTGTGGACCGGGAGGGAAATCAGAGATGGGAGAGGGAATGAGAGAGGACCCGGGAGCTCAGCCTGAAGATCCTCCGGGTCCTCCTCTCGCGAGCACGGAGCGTTGCCGCAGTTACCACAGCAACGCTCCAAATCTTGTGAGAGTTAACTCTGGCCCTGGAGCGCGGGCTAGAGTTCACTCCTACCACTAGGACCACCAGGGAATCCCCACCGGATCACCAGGGATGGAAATATATCCCCCCTCCTCCCAGTAAAGGTAGAAGGGTGGGGGGGACATAAAGAATATTTATTTTAATTACATTTAAAAAAAACACACATATTATAATAAAAAGCCCCCCCCCCTATCATTCTTATCACACACACACACATTGCCCCCCCTTACACACTTTCCCCATATACACAGCCCGCCCACACACATACACTGCCCCCATAAACACATTGCCCCCCCACACACATTGCCCCCATACACACACACGCACTGCCCCACATACACACACTGGCCCCCATAAACACATTGCCCCCACACACACACACTGCCCCCCATAAACACATTGCCCCCACACACACACACTGCCCCCCATACACACTGCCCCCATAAACACATTGCCCCACACACACCATACACTGCAATACACACACTGTAACTGTCACACACACACACTGCACCCGACATATACTGCCACCCTCACTTACACACTGCTCATACACTGTCCCCCCCCCCACACACACACACTGCACCACTCACACATCCCACTGCTCCTCTGCCCTACTACAGCCCCATTTCCCAGAGGACCTCAGGTAAGTTGTCAAACTGTTCTTAAACGGTTTGACTACTTACTCTGGGAGGAGGTCCCGGCACTATTGGCACAATAACCACTACACTGAGCTCTAGTTGTTATTGTGTCTGGATTATTTATTTAAATAATCTACAAGTGCCCGTCCAGAGATCAGGCTCTGGATCCGCCACTGACTCACAGTCACACCTAATTTGGCCATATTGAACATTTGTAAATGTACTTTTTAAATGCCAAGACATTTTTAAGAATACATGCCTTGATCAGGTTGTAAATTAATTTGAAAAAGCTAGAAGTTTTATTTCTTATAGTGTTACACACCATATAAACTTTGAAGATGTACATTGTTATACAAAAGTTAAATAAAAAAAATTAAAATAAAATGAGAGAAATATATGGACAGACGTGTTGAATGCTAAAGTACTCACCTCCTCAGGGCACTACATAGTAGAAACTCCTTTGCAATTACTATTATTAATTATGAGTCTTCTGGAGTCAAGTCTCTAGTAGTTTGAAAATCTGGAACCTGCAATGTTTGACCATTCTTCTTGGCAAAACTGTTAAAAGTGGTACTGTTACTCCCGTGCAAAATTTGTATTTCATAAAAATATCATCTTTATGAAATACGTATATTGACTGTGTTGGAATTTCACTAAAATTCCAACCCAGTCAATAGATAGCTTGGTCTCAGTATTTCTCCTACACCTGACACTTGACAGAACTACCACCGCCTAGAAGTGTCAATCCACCCAGCCATCATCAGTGACGGCTGCAGGGTATTGGCTCTATCTATGGAGGATCCTGCAGTCTCAAGGGATCCTCCATAGACCTCAATGCTGTACTCTCATGCATGCGCAAGAGTTCAACATTGACACCCCCTTCCGGTGCTAGAGTATCAGGAGCTGAAGAGGACCCACCAGGAGAAGATGGTGGCACGCAGGAGGGACAGGTTCAGGTAAGTAGAACTCACCTTTTACCTGGACCTCCAGAAGCAATGGCACCATCGGGGGTCTTTGCCACTTTAAGCTTTGTCAGGTTGGATAGGTTCTCTGGTAAATGGAAATGTTCAAGTCTTTTGGCAGATTCTGAAAAAGAAGTCTTAAATTTGTCTGGATAATTCTAAAGTATTAAGTATTAATGTTCTTCGTTTTAAAACAAAAAACACAGTGTAGGTTTGTTTGTGTGAATAGGGTTATTATGCAGTCTTCTAGACATTTCAGCTAGCTTGATTAAAACCAATTCCTTTTCATCTACGTTCTTCTCATCAATCCATCCAGGATTTACCTGTGGAAAAGGACTGCACAGGTAGATCACAGACGGATCGATTTGTTCAGGAGTAGAATAAAAGAAATTTGGATCATTTGAACTGTCTGAAACACATCTTTATCCTCCAGACTGTTTAAGATCCAGCAAGAACAATCCATTAACTTACATCTGCAGGTGAGATAGGCTGCTTAGGAGATGATTCAAAGAATGACAACCAAACATTTAGAGTGAAAAAGTAGGCTTAAGTAATGAATTTTAATGGCATGTTCTCTTGACAATCTGTTGTCAATGCTAACAAACACATTTATACACAGGACATGCATCTGTGTGTACCTACATAAACGCAAACAAGAAGATCTGGAGAAGAAATGATAAAAGAATGATGAAAATTAAAAAAGCTTATACGTTAAGAGAAATGGGTTCTTTAGAAGGATACCAAGCACCATAACATTCCATCAGTAGTGGTTATGGTACAAGCACTACCTCTTGTTTTTGTATTGCCTTCCTAAAATGGTTTGCCATTTTTTAATAGTATCACAATACAGTTGTACTCTCCCAGCACATCTTAATGGAGTGGTTTTGGTGCCTATAGCATAGCCCTGCAGGCTTATATATATAAATACTGCCTTTTTATAGAAAAGGCAGTGTTCACATTGCGGCTTAGTAATACCCCAAGGTGAAATCACCAAGACGGCCACTAGCGGTGCTTCTTGTGCAGCACCTACGTTCACCGTCTCCATGCACTAGCATTGGATTGGCTGAGATCATCAAAATTGATTTTAAAAAAAGGAATAAACAATCTGAGTTGGATAAGGAATATGAATAGAATGGTCGAGAATGAAGAATTCTGACATGTGTACACATAATATAATTCAGATTTTATAAGACCCAGTGTTGGTGTCTGGGATGTATTTGTCTGATGTTAGTGAGTGTGTGAATGCAGAGTGAATGTACAGAGTATCTGGTTTATTCATCAAACTCTGAATTGTAGGGAACAAATGCAAATGGCAAAAATTAGGCAAAAAATTTACAAAAATATCAGAATCTCGTATATTCCTCAACTCTGCTATAGTAACTATTTTAGCCCATATTTTGTCATTTGGATCTTAATACACTTAAGTTTAGTGATTGCAAATAATTGCAAAGTTTGTAATAGTTGTTAAAATGTCCCTTAATTTTACATAAAGTTGACAGTGATTGGAGCAACCGTCCACTCTAAGACATGTGAATGGCTTAGAACTGCAATAGTTTCTAAAAATTACTGCAGATTTTTGTACGTCCTCAGAGCTGTCAATCAGCCTCCTGAAGTAAGTGGTTTGACAACTTAACTGTGGTCCGACAGTCTTATTTTACTTCTTCCTCTGCAACCCAGAACCTGCAGCACTGAGCTAAGCAGTGCAGGGAGATACCCATTGGCCAAGAACACTCATCTGATGTGCTAACCCCTTGAGCAAGGCCTGCACGGCATTGCTTAGCTCAGGGGAACTAATAGAAGTTCCTTGCAGGATCTCCTGGGTCCAAAAGAGAAGTGACTGGCACCTGGCGGACTTCAGGTAAGTTATGAAACCATATGCAAATGGGGTGTCAACTTATAATAGGACCATAACCACTACAGCATGCTGCAGTAGTTATGGTGTATGGAGTGTTCATTTAAAGGTATGGTAAAATTTATTTGGTTTCCATTTTAGTAATGCTTATCTATATGATTCTATCTCTAATGAAGGCATCGAACATGAAATCCAAGAGCAATACTGGCCTGAATTGTTTAATATATTATACACTAAAGTCTATTTCTTTACCTGTCTCTGGTGGTGCCCTTTCTTTGCGTTTTCTTTAGGGTATAGTTTGCTATAGTTAATAAAATCAGTGTCACAGAGAAAATTTATTCTGCAAAACAAATATTCAAGAATGTACAAATGAAAGAAAACATCTTCGAAATCACAGCTTTGGTCAAGCCATTTTAAATATTCACAAGCAATGTAACATGTATATATATTTTTAAAGCGTTTATTGAATATCATCTTAACCTTTTGTCTGGCAATTAGAAACATATGAATCTACAGGATGGAACTAAAGATCATACAGTCATTGTAGTTTAGTGTTCTGGAACCTTACACATAAAACTGACAAAGGAAAAATGCACACAAATAACTGGTTTAATTAAAAGCAATCGATTACCAAGGCAAACAGTATATTACAACTTCTAGCACATACTTATATACAGCAAGGAGCTTGCTAATGAGCTCTCTCATCAAAAGATTAACCCTTATTCATGCATACCAACACAGTCTCAGCCCTTCAATTTTTGGGTTTTTTTTTGTGGGGGGGGGGAATTCAGAATCCCAAACAGTGCAAATTTTAAGGCACAAAAGCCCTGGTGAATCTAACAAAAAGATGAATTGTGAGATATTTAAAAGACACAGTTTTGGCATTGCTAAACTATCTGATACATTTTTTTAGTAGGGGGCCTGTCAATGTGGCACCACTGAAGGGGGGTAACAGGCATCTGGCACTGTCAAATCCTGCTTACCTATACAGACACCCTACCTATACAGACACGCTGGATGAAAAATAAAAAAGGGGGGCAGGCTTTGATTGTCGCAAATCCTTTGGTTTTTGGTCAAACCACTTGAAAATGGCTTTAAAAAATAAAATAAAATAAAATGGAGGGACTGTACCCATAGCCTCCTTGTACAATAAGAACTACCGTGAGCTGTGGGGATTATGGTACTGTAGGGGGCCTGTCAATGTGGCACCACTGAAGGGGGGTAACAGGCATCTGGCACTGTCAAATCCTGCTTACCTATACAGACACCCTACCTATACAGACACCCTGGATGAAAAATAAAAAAGGGGGGCAGGCTTTGATTGTCGCAAATCCTTTGGTTTTTGTCAAACCACTTGAAAATGGCTTTAAAAAAATAAATTAAATAAAATGGAGGGACTGTACCCATAGCCTCCTTGTACAATAAGAACTACCGTGAGCTGTGGGGATTATGGTACTGTAGTTTCCCTTTAAGTATTTGTTAAAATAATGGTTATTCAAATTCTGGATGGTACCTATTTTGCCAGAACTACTACACAAGATGTGTAGCGGGGGAAAAAAAACAAACAAAAAAAAACAAAACAAAAACGCAGGTGGGAGCTGTAAATTAACGGTCCCTAATATCTAAAATGAGGATCTGATGTAAAGGCATTAATTGTCACTTACAAAGCAGATAGTTCTTCAAAACGTTTCGTAGGTAACGGGCCACAAATTGTAAGCCAGTAAGGACATCATTGGCTACATAATTGATGATACACTACTACTACTTTTTTTTGAGATGTAAATGTGATCTCATGTTACTGTTGTTTAAAAATCCTAATTCTGAACACGTAAAAATATGTAACTTGTAACACATGCAAACGTCCACTTTTATACATTTTGTAAAATTCCCTTTACAGGTTGTGAACAGTTTTTATCTTCTATAATTTTACATATTTGTTGCATAATGTTCATGGTCAGAGTAAAGTCATGTTGGTGTTCGCTCTAGAACATTTTGTACCATATAATAATATATTGATATCTCATATATACATATTATATATACATATATACAAACATTTATATACTTTGTATTAGACCTTTCATGTTGCACAAACTTTCTAAATCATGAAGGATATAAAACAGGTTTGCTGTTATTTCTCCATATTCTGTCTTCAATATAAATAGTCTTAATTTCATTTTTTGTTACTACGAAAGCATTATGGAATATGTCCGAATACATCTCCAAAACTCGCTACCTGCTCCTGCACTATACCGTGAAAGCATAAACCGAGTCTGGAGTTATGATGAACAATCAAACTATTCGTGCTAATAACGAAATAAAACAAATGCACACCTCTAGTGTTCTTTCTCCTTACCATGAACACAAATTAAACAGTTAATTCATAAAGAGATAAACGGATTATATAATAATAATAATATGTATGCATGTCTATTATTTATAAGCACACATATTTCGTAATACAGATCGCCCCCAATAGTAGGAAATCCCATAATTGTATTTAGAAAGCATTTGTGAGAAGGTTGAATTGATCTTAAGATATTTTTTAAGTATGGGGTTCAGTCACATCTATTTGTGATTTACATAACTAAATGAACCCTCTCAGGCTACCTGGATAAAATGTTACAAATCCGCACTACAAAAGATTTCACATGTTATGTGATAACGGAGCAAAAGGCATCTACAGGTTTTTTTCCTGTCGATGTCCAATGACATGATCAATGCGTCATGAACCAAAAATAAATATTTCCAAAGCTTGTATAGAGAAGATAATCTGTTACTTGATCTAATGGAAGTGAGCAGGTATTGCATAGTAAAATCTATCCTTTTTAAATGAATGAATAATAAAATAGACTAATTAACTTAAACAATCTGAAAAGTTGATTATTTTTAACTTTTTAAAGTGATAGGCCTGCAGTGAACAATCGCAATTCCAAATACAGACATGGGGAAGGCATACACTAGCTATTATACAATCAGATATGTGATACAGTGTCTCTGATTGCATTGAATCTTTTTCATATACAGTATTCCCAACAGTATAGTGTTCCTTTACAGCTCTGGTCTAATTAGTGGAGTCTACACAGCCTTGGACAGCTTTGGTCTAATGAGTGTTGGCTGGACATGAATTGGCCATTTTCTATATTTTATTTGACATGTCAGATATAGCCATCCGCAATGTTCCTGTTTAGATGTTTTTGTCCCTACCTTGGACTCAAATTCTTCTGGCCCTCCCTTCTATTCAGAAAATCTTCTTTTCTACAAGGTTCCATTTTTTTTTGGTTTGTATAACATAGCTCAACAAAACAAAGCTCAATTTAGCTTTATAACATTAATGTGCTTAGAAATTAGTCTGCCTAATTTACATTTTCAGTTACCGATTATCAGTAGCCCATGAAGTCAGCTAAAACATCTTAAAGTAAACCAACCTGATGGTCATTCCCCCGAAAATAAAAGTGTCCCCTTTTTGTCCTTTTGACATATTGGTGGGAGGGTGGGGGTGCATCAAATAATGAATGTTTAAGAAAGGCAACCCATTTAAAATAAAGAGGCCAAAAATAAAAGATCATCTGTATTATGATCTATTTTAAAAAGTACATTTCCTCAACAAGTATTACCATTACTAATCGATGGGTTGGAGAAAGTTATAACTCGTTATCCCAAAATAAAGGCTTTATACCACACTCTACTATTCAGTGAATAAACCTGTTTTGTCAAGTACCAACATTATCTTTGCTACGTCTCTATAAATAAAAACCAAACAGACAACTGCATTATTTCATTATCCCTAGCGCTCCACTATCACATACGTTTATTGCACTATTAAATGTTAATCTTCTATTATGTTAAGTTTAAGTATTGTCTTTAAAAGTCTAAGAAAACCCCCCAAAACATCTAGACTGACCAAGCTTATCTCTAATATTGCCAGTTTGCATAATGAGGTGTTACATCAATTAAAAAGGTGAACAATTATTCATATTCAAATGATAATTCTCTTTTACAACTGTCTCACCTTTACAGAGTGTACAATGGCTATCTGAAAATGATAAGAGTTGTAACCCAGAAGGCATGGAGGACTACAAGGTACCCAGAACCTGGTGTACAGTTATTACGTTTTAATTCTATACGACTAGTAGCAGCACTTATCTGCCCTGACAGAGCAGCACAAGAATGGTTGGGAACAACCTAATTTAACCTATGTCCATTCACAAGGAGGAGATGGTTTAATGAGCAACCATACCACGTGCCTCAATACAAATCTGGTCCCAGAAAAATATAGACCAATATTGCAAGCCAACACGTAGCTTTCCAGCTATTAAGATATGCAGCTGATGTAAAGCGAGACCAATTTTTCTCAGCCATCATTTGCCCAAGAGGTCTATGATATTTGCACGTCTACAACAGCTAAATAGCTACCAGTTTGCTACCTCTGTTCAGGACCCTAAGTGACTAAGGGGATAATTAATTCACTGCTCAACTGCTTTGCTAAGAATACCTGCCATCTATATACCATTGTAGCTGGTCAAATCATTTGAACAAAGGCAATTCAGAATAATATATATATATATATATGTATTACATACATACATACACACATACACACACTTTGTTCCTCAACACAAGTAAAAATAAAAATCTGCTCAGCCTCAACTACCTAAAATGATTTTTTATCATCACAGCAACGAAAAACAAATGAAATTTTGATTTATACCCGTGTGCTTAACTTTGTTCAGAAGCCTCCGTAGAAAAATATATATAACTTTTTTTTTTTGGTTGCAAAACGAGAGTTGTTATAAAGAAGAAAACAAAACAGTGAATCACTGGCTATAACGTGTAAAGTCTGGCAATGGTCAATGTGTTGTTTTTAGAAAACAACATGTCATTGCTTTTAAAATTTTGCTACACCATTCTTAAGCTTATTTCGAGTGGTATTGAAGTTTAAAGAAAAAGACCTCACTCCCAAGTAACATGACCCGCACTTTAACTTGATACAGCATCGGACACAGATTTGCATAATTTAAGAGAGACGAATATTTAGCAGCCACCTTCATCGTCTTAGCAGCCACAGAGGAGGTAAATCTATAGAGTTCTCTATAAAATACTGTAGAATGTTGGGAACCAATAGTGACATTTCTAGATCTACAGGGTTTTGACACGCGTCGACTCACTGATGTACAGTTGTATGGGGTAGGAAAAACCCGTCATCCTAGTATCACTCACTGCTGGTACTTAGGCTTGCTACTTAAAAGTAGTTCAGATAGGTAGGATAGAATTATTTTAGTAGTAGGTATTTAAATACTACCTCTATCACTCTTCATGGAATATAAAGGGTCATCTTATGGCCTAACTGATGTAAATTATTTATGCCACGTCCTCATCCAATTTGTTGCATTTTTGCAGGTTTTTCTGTTAATGATTTCATTAAATTAAATTGTTATATCACAGTATTCTACCCAGCACCAAAGGAGATATAAAATGTTTACTTTCAAAATGTGTTCCTACATTGCTCATACACTTTGCAAAGTTACAATGTTCACAACAGGCTAAATGCAACCTTATTGAGTCATGTCAAAATAATTTGAGAATTCTCATCTTCTTAGGTCCTTGAATGAGATCTCCTCGGATCTTCACAGGTAGAATGAGACTCCTGAAGGATGACCACCAAGACAAATAATGGCATTCCACAGACTTCTCAACTTTAGAAAAAATCTGGAAATCAGACTTCAGGGACGCGGTCCTACGTGACTGTATGAAAAAGCTGTACACTGTAAGCAAGCATAATTTCCAATTTAAAAGAGTTTTCAGTTCCATCACCATAATGTAAAATCCATGGCTAAATTTCTCACCAAAAGATAACCCGTAGTCATATATTAAGATTAAAATTCCTAGTGTAGTGGTCAGTTGCTTAAGTATGAAGTACTCATCAGGATGCAATGCTAGATAAGATTTCGATTAGGTTGTCAAATCCATAAAGATAACCATCTTCTCGATTTCCCTCTTGCCAAGGGATGCGGTGATCTAGAGTATTACCTTCGGACATTTCAGTTGTTTTGCCAAAATCGATTAGCCAGACATTTGACTTGCCCTTCTTGTCGTGTACAAAAAGTAAAGAACTCCCAATGACCTATCAAAAAAATTATAAAGGAGACGCTACTTAGTGTGGTTTGCAGTGAGCCTCAGTTCATCGCACAAGACAAGGAAACAAAAAAATAATGCAAAATATCAAAATAACAAAAAGTGATAAAACCAGAAAAAAATACATGAAAATGTTTTTGTAAACAAAAAAATAAAAAAAATTTAAATTTAAAATAGGCGAGCAATATGAAAGAATAATAAAAAAAAAAATGTAAAAGAAACACTGAGAAGTTAATAAACAATTTTGAATGTTTAAACAATTTATTTCGACTAAACAAATGTTTTGGTTGGGTATTAACATATGGGATTAGTATTAAGCACATTAACAACTTGCAGGCATATATGCATGCTGAGCGCTGTCTATTTTTTTTGGGGGGGGGAAGTAATCCTCCTTCAAATAGGAAGGGACTACTTTATCTACTTGCAAATATCATGGAATGATGTGCACAATAATTGAAGTCACTCATAGGTCCCATTCATCTAAAATACTAAGGTTACATTCACAACTACACCATGACCAGTAGCATATCAGCATGGGTTGGACAGGAATTATGTGTTGTTACGCCTTTCACTGCAAAGGCCACAGAGAGGTAACATAAAAGAAAAAAAGGACGTTTCCTAAACTAGAACGAGGTTTTAAAATTACAAATAATAATTGTGGTTAGCATGCAGAGTATTGCAAAACAATTTGTAAAGTTAAAAAATAAATATTCATGAGAAGGTTTAAAAGAAAAAAAAATGATGTGAAGGATGTCTAAAATACTCACACTAAAGTTCTCCCTGAAGGCCAATTCACTTTCATTTATGATACTTTGAGGTCCAATGAAATGCTTCTCTTAGAAAAGCTTAATTGGACCAAGGGTGCAAGGACAACAATAGCACTTGCTGGGAGCAGGACAGGGGAGGGAGGCATCGATGTGGGGACAACGGCTGCACAGAACATTTTATGTCTGTTGCCAACATGCTGTTCGTGGGTATATATTTTAGGCACAGACTACACGTTGGTCACCTTGGAATGCAGTTTCAAGCAGATTGTATCACAGGTGCCGGAGGTAGAATTACACCTCCAGCGGCTTGATCAATATCCATAATATATTTCATACTGAAACACTGCACACACAGATTCCTTGCACCATGACCCTTTCTAAACAATTAAGTAGCCATGGTGCGTGAAGTAACCATTTAAAGAATAAATGTAGCCTTTGCTGCTAAAAACCACCTTTTCCTCACCTCGTGACGTTTAAAGAATTCTGAAGACTCCACAACGGCTCGGACCTCTTGCAGCCTGCACAGATATTGATCCTGCATAAGAGATAAGAGTCATATCAATAGTTATTCAAGCCATGTTTTTGAAATCTGCCATACTACACAGTGTGCATTAACATGGGTCAATACAGTCTCACATACCAATATCATTTTGTTGCCATCAATGAACTCAAGGAATGCCTTACGGATCTGATCTCGGGTTTTCGTGGTTTTAAAATTTGTGTTGCAAGTCCCATCGCCTTTCTAAAGAAATATGAAACATTTGCTTAAGATGAAATGTCTACAAACTAAAAATAACACTAGGGACACTATTTCAAACAATATTACAGATGCATTCAGAAAGTATTCAGACATCTTTATTTTTTTATACTTATACTACAATAGTTTATTTAATTTATTTTTAATCAATCTACACTTAATACCACATAATGACGACGCAAAAAGAATAAACTTTTGACGGATTTCGGTCACTTTTCACAGTGTCTATATATTCTAGATATGATTTCACTGAGAAACATGTGCCTTTTATAATATGGGTTCAATTAAAAAAATCCATTTGCTCTGGGATGAGATCATATATAAAATGTATAGATATGATGCTATGTAATGTTTTATAATCAATGACAATATAGCAAGGTATTAAATAAAATAAAGACAACCCTTTCTGTAAAGTTTAATTGTCAAGATTTTTCACATGTATAGTTGTCACAAAATTTAACATACATGTGACGTGTGAAAAGTGAGATTAAAGGACCACTATAGTGCCAGGAAAACTGTAACGGATCACCTGGCACCCCGACTGGTTACCTCCGTTGAAGGATGCTCCTAGCGCTTCATGAGGGCTCCAAGCACTCCAGCAGACACAATAACCACCGTAGACTCCTTCCGAGAGCAAGACAGGAACAAGCTCTTAAAAGAGCTTAGTAGTGATTAGCCAAGGGAGTATGCAGAGCATAGCAATCCCTTGTAGTGATATAGCAATTCCCCCAATAAGAGACAGGACTCTAGATTGAGGGTGAAGAAGAACTCTGTTTTACTTGGCACCAAAGGGCCTTCTTTTATGCAGGTTTAACACATACAGGACCGCCCACAGGGTTTTTCAGAACAACCAATAAAAACATTACAACACATACAATAAAGTAAACCACTCCCAGCAGAAATCCCCCCTCTGCCTGTGAAACAATTATCTCAAGACAATAGACTAACTTAATTAGCACAGGCAGAAAATATACAGTTTTTACACAATTTTTATAACTTTAAAAGTATGCATGCAATATTAATAAAAGTTACATATTTGAAATCAGTATCCTTCAAATAGAAATATACTCAAAAATCATTCAAATTGGTCCAGTGGTTCAAAAGTTAGGTCGAAAGTCCTTTGTGACCACTGAAGCATGGCTTTTCCAGCTCAAACCAGTTCCACAGAGTCCTCTATCCTGGAGATAATTGGGAAGTAATCTAATTATCTCCAAGGACAGAGGCAAAACTCCATTGAACACATGGTAGCAAAAGACAATAAAATACATAAAAAATATATAACTGTGCAGCTATTGCATAAAACAGGTACATTCAACATATCCCCAGATAGCTTAGATCTGAGCGCACATTATTACTGAATGGCGCTCAGATCACATACATACAGTTCAATTGCCATGGAGCCAAAGTCTTTCACATAGTCTTTCGTTATACGAATGGGCTCCATGGCAAAGCTATCTGGGGTATCACTATTCAAATAGGGAAAGTACCGAATGACCCGGCTTTCGGGTCTTTGCAGGGGAAAATCAAGCATTTCAACATGGGGCCATAGTCACAGGGCAGGAGGCTGGCTGTCAGTCTTCTCCGATGTCCAGTGGCGAGGCTGGTTCCGCCACAAAAACATACTAGTTTTCCTATAGGGTCTCTAGGTCCCCCCCACCCTTGGGGCCCCCCTCCCGCCAGGCTCTGGGGTGAGGAAGGGGTTAAATCTTACCTTTTCTCCACCGCCAGGCTCCGTCGGCGGTGGGGAATTTCCGCCTCCCTTCCCAGTCATCAGCTGAATGCGCATGCGCGGCACAAGCCGCGCACGCATTCAGCCAGTCTCATAGGAAAGCATTTTCAATGCTTTCCTATGGGCACTGGCGTCTTCTCACTGTGAAAATCACAGCGAGAAGCGCAGAAGTGCCTCTAGCGGCTGTCAATGAGACAGCCACTAGAGGCTGGATTAACCCATTTGTAAACATAGCAGTTTCTCTGAAACTGCTATGTTTACAGCAGAAAGGGTTAATTCTAGATGGACTTGGCACCCAGACCACTTCATTAAGCTGAAGTGGTCTGGGTGCCTATAGTGGTCCTTTAAATGTTCAAATCAACACCTCTTCTATGCAACTGGGTACTTCCATCTTAGCTCCCTGCCAATCATTGTTATAAGCTCTCCAATTTGGCTGTGGTAGTCAGCATAGAAATAACATACAGAGAAAAGGATAACTTAAACAAGGGGGCTTTTTTTGTGCTCATTTGCAACAAGTACGCCTGCTGTGCGTGGACTGAATTGCATTCTGATGTCATTTGCCAGTTCTTTAATATGAATTTAAAAGGAAAACAAGTAATTACATAAAACGGGTCTCATATCTTATAGAAAGACTTTGAGGTATTGTTTGACAGGGCCATGGGTTAGCTTGTTGATTTTAGATCTGTGCATTTGTTTGTTTTTTTGTTGTTTTTTAAATCTTTATTTTTTCTGTGCAAGAAAGTTACAGGCATATATGAGGTGCCACAACAGCACGCAAAGAGTAAGCAACAAGCATTCAATTTGGCTCTTGAAATCTGCACATTTTTGTATTTGTGTTGAAACAAGCTAGACATAGTTTTAGACATATAGTCAGCAAGCAGTGATAAAACAATATGTTGAGCTCTAAATGTTCTAGCTGCCAGCGTGAGAGTGAGTCGCCGGTATGTGTATGCATGTTAAGGTGTGGTAGGTAATTGGTAATGTAAACAGAAGTATAGTGCGATCGCACACATCTTTATGTAAGTAGCTGGGTTGCAAGCTATTTATGTACGACTGATGTTATATTACTCTAGATTCTACTTTCAGTGTAGATTGGCTAGACATTTGAGTGGTAAGTAAAAACACGGTTAACAGCATGCTTTAAGAATACGAGTTGGGTCTAAGTGATGAGTAAAGGTCACACTGTCTGCGCTTACTGAGTAAAGTGACCGCTGGAATACGGTTTTAGTCCTTACGGCTGGGTAAAGTGTTTAAGGTAAGATGGTGTCCATCAAGATCATGGCGGATTCGGAGTTAGGTAATACAGTCCGCTGTCCTTGGATAGTCTCTGACTCAGCCAATCCCCTGATTCGGGAAGCTCTTAGGGCATGTGAAGAGGTAGGCAGCTTCTCTGTTCTCCTTTGTGGCGGGTCCCTACGCTTGATGAGTGGCCCGTTGATGGGAGTTGCCGCTCGGGTCTCTCCGGTGGACCTCCGCTTGGTCTGAGTGGTCAGAGGTAAGTCTGTAGTATAGATTCCTTTGCTGGTTGTAACCGGCTAATCTCCGCTGCTTCCTATTTGTTCGCTGCTTTGTGAAGTATCGCCTGGGTGATTTAAGTGCAGCGTATGCCAGGTTCTTGTGGTTAGTTGGCTTGTGAGGATTCTTCCGGCTGGAAGGAAGTCGGCGTGGGTGCGCCCCAGCGTGGGTCCCCCGCCTGGAGTGGGTCGGGCGGACCGCCGCCGGTACTCACTCCTGCTGCATGTTGGAGACTTGAGATGGGGGCCTTTGCTGTAGGCTTCTCCAGAATGCTTGGCAAATTTGATTGAACCTGGCCTCAAAACGCCGTTTCCATTGCTGGACCCTCCGTGGTTTGCTCCGCGTGTTGCATGGCGGCCATCTTGGGCGCCCCGCGTGGCTTACCGTCAGACAGTGATTTTCCCCTTGTCAGGCGAGAATGTGTTTCCAGCGTGGACCAGGATATCACCAACCAGTCCATAAGGGGGGAGGTTGCAAGGGAACAAGAGAGCTGCCATGTGGTGCTGGCCCTGTGTCGGGAGGTCGTCCGCCTCCTCCGGCAATCAGGTTGCTTGTCATGCTAGGCTTCAGCTGTGATTCTTGGCCAGACGGCTGCGATAGCTTCGTGTGTGGTATCAGAAGATTCGGCTTCACTTCGCCTTTCTGCCGGTAGCTCGTTTTGTATAGTTTCTAGTCTGTAAATTGTCTCTTAGTCAGTTTGAGTGTCGTGCAGAGCAGGAGCTGTGCCGGCATGCATCCGCTCAGCTCCGTGCTCAGACCCCGCCCTCCTGCATTTGGTTTTTGGAAACGAATTGTGATTTGTCAGAGTTGTGGGTGATCTGAAACTCCTAATGCCGTATTGACATATCATGAGACAAACGACATGGACACAAAATAAAAGAAATGACAGCAAAAAATAAATAAATCTATATTTATAGATCTTATATTTAATAAATATATAAGTTCTAAATATAGATTTTTTTTTCCACTGCTCCTACTTCTGTTCTTCAGCTGATTAAATTTGGCTGAACCAATTTTTTTGCGGTGCACAAATCTATAAATTTTGTAAAAATTTTGTTTAAGTTTTTAATAGGTTATTTTCTGATCACTCAATAGGTAAAGTTTGAAGTCTGCTTGCTTATTCATTTTAAAATATGTGGGTTAAGGGCGGTGCGTTAGGGGTAGCGAGACATGACCTCCATGTTCCTTGGACGTGCTTTGAGAGAGCTCCTCGTCTATCCTCCAATATTGCAGGATTAATCGATTTACGCATTCAATACATGCTTGGTAGACACTTACCCTATCTCCAAGTTGGCTTAAAGCTGCTGACTACTGTTGGCCGTACTAACAGAGTACACAGTAGCTTAGTGAGCACAACACATAAGAGAGGCAGACAATCTCCCGGGCTGAAGCAACCTGAGGCCCAAAAAAACATTCTGGTGACCCACTCCCCTTTAGACCGATGGGGATAAGCTTGGTCCACACCTTGGATGTCCAACAACTATAAAAAGATTATCTAATGCTGCCCTTTGATTAAGCAGACACAGAGTCTCCTCTAAAATAGCAGCCACAGCAAATGGACTCAACTACTGCAGTAACCAAGCTGACACCATGTCTAAGCTAGACAGAATCTTCACGGATTTCTGATGGAAGCTGAATGATCGCTTACATCAACCTGTTCAGCAAGAAGTCAAATGGACATTCACCCCAAAGATTACCGCCGAGAAACCAGTGAGAGATAGTGGCTCCAGTCCTAGAGCACTCTTGAGAACATCTCAAGGTAGCAGAGCCTGAGCACAACCAGAACATCTCAAGGTAGCAGAGCCTGAGCACAACCAGAACATCTCAAGGCAGTAGAGCCTGAGCACAGCACATCAACAGGCCTAGGTTTAGAAGGGCCATATTTTGGGACTCCTTGAGATGCCGAGAAATTTGGGTGGAAGTAGCACTACCTCAATTGGATACCACATCTGCCATCACTTGGGCTACCATGCCCAAAGAATATTATACCAAAGCCCGACTATGTTCTGCCTCTGGAGACTGGAGGGTATAGGCTTATCTGGGTCCTGGGCCTCTCGCTGACACTGTGCCATCTATCTTTTTGCCTTCAATAAGAGTTAATGCAGAGCAACTGTCTTATTTAGTCTTTATCTTGTTTATCTGTTGAATTTTTTTATTTTTTTTTTAAACTTTAACTGGTACACACTGTTCACACCTATATTTCAAGTTTGGAAACGCATATTTTCAAGCAGCAATACAAAAAAGTATTCATGAAGAATGCATAATCTCTGAAAAAATTATGAAAATGTCCCTGCTACCATTACATCTCTAATACAAAACTGGACTACCATATGAGTTTGCTTCTGCGTAGCAAGAGAAGTCCATTTTCAAAACAGATAAAATTCAGTCCATAGGTGTGAAAGGTATGACTGACAGTCTTGGGTTATTTTATTTTTCTTCCTTAATTTGGAGGAGTTGTTTCAGGATCCTTAAGCATGCAAGCCTCGTAGAAGGGGCCTCAAGGGCACCAGGGTTGGACTCAGCCAGTTTACGCCAGAGCTGGGAAAGCTTCTGGGTCATCTACGTCAGGAGCAGAAGAATCGCTTGACTGGTAAGTCTTCCCGACGCGCCTTGGCTCAGTGAAGTTGTTTTCTAAAGGCGTTACCTTGTCAATTTTCCCTCCACGGCTTGGCCTTGCACCGCGGCCACGACCACCCCGGCCGCCTCGGCCACCTCGACCAAAGTTGATCTCAAGTTGTGAAGTGATATCATTTGCAGGCTTACGGAAGTGATGGTCAAAAGCGTCAGACTCCGCGTGAACCTCTTCACTCTTTGACTTGTGAAGGACAAATCCCTTTTTCCATTGGCCGTCAGCGCCCTCATTTGGTTTCCGGATGTTAAATTCAACTTTTGCGCGTTCCTTATCTTGCATAGCCTTCCATTCATCCAAAGTCATTTCCTTAGGACCCTCTTCCTTGGGCCCTTCGCCTGCCTCGTTTTCCTTGTTTTCAGAGTCGACAACTGGTTGTTCCTCTGCTTCAGGGGCTTCCTCAGTGACGGTGCTTTGGTCCAATTCACTCAGTTCATCCTTAACATTTCCCCAGTTGTGTTGTCCACTGCCACCACGCTTATCCTCATGCTTCGGGCCAGCACTGTCGCTGCCACTATGTCTGTCAAATTCACGTTTGCCACGGGAGTCAAATCCATCTCCTCTGCCCAATCCACGTCCGCGTCCACCACGTCCTCTTCCTCCAGGGCCGCCACGTCCATGAACAGGTCTTTCAATGATGGGTCTATCCACAGAGAATTCTCCAGCTTCACCCTTCTCTTCAACTGGCTTTTCAAAGCGGCGTTCACGGGGAGGCTGTTTGTCTGTCTGTCTCCTGTCGATGGGCTTCCCTTCACCCTGTGGGGCTTGTGGAGCCTGCTGCTGCTGAGGTGCCTGCTGTTGTGGTTGTTGCTGGTCAGGCCTTCTGCCAACCCTCCTGATACCCTCCTTCTTGAGCGCCACGGGCGGCGGGGTGTCCTCTGTTGTATAATCCTTCTCTCACCACCAATACTTCCAATTGGTATCCTTTTGAGAGAAATCCACTCTGCGTTGTGTTTTTAATAGTGAATGTAATATCCCTGTGTCACCTCTTCCAAGAACTAACATATATCTTTATCCCCTTGTCCAGATAACTATATGTCTAGAACTACTAAGGTATTCTACCCGATATTACAAATAAACAGCCAACACCATAGTTCTTATCAGAGAGAAATCTTTACTTAGAATCTGCCCAATTAAATATTACAGAAGAAGAATGTTACAGAGTTATAGTATTACAGTTACAATACATTCATAACACGCATACATTCCATCTATCTAATACTATCTGCTACATTGTGTATAATAATATTGGCTACATTGTGTATGTGCTGTGCATGTTATGTGCAGCTTGTGTGTCTTACCAAAACCTAATCTAATGTGATGTCAGTATCTTCTATTTTTAAAGGAATTGGTTCCCATGTTGTAAATACCAAATTCCTCAGCTCAATTGATATGTAAATGTGATTTACTTTCCCAAGGCCCAAAGTGTTGTCTATCCTGTTATTTTATTTAAGTGTCAACTCTCCCAGCCATCCCTTTCCCTCTAACCCAAGGTGTGTTTTCCTAGATAGGGACTCCTTTGAAGACCAGTTGATATGTAAATGTGATTGGTGCCTTTCAGGTGCTGTATCTTTCCAGCTATCTAAACAGAAACTCCCTTTGAAGATAATTCCTGACCTCCCATACACACAGACTTAATCAAGCACATATTAAACAGATATATACATAATATTTTCCCCAACACTCCCCCACTTGAATAAGATCTAATAAGGAGATTATTTTCCCCAACATCCTCCTTCTCTGGCAGCGGGTTCTTGCGCTCCTTCTTGGACTCCTTGCGGAGCTGCTTGGCGGCCTGAGCCGCGGTCTTGACTGATCCCTGGCCGGGGCCTGCGGGGCCCTCCTTCTTCTTGTTCTCGGCCGCCTTCAAGACCTCGAACGGGTCGGATTCATCGTCAAATAGCTGGTCGAACCGGTTGGTGACCACGCAGCCGAAGCCTTCCTGCAGGTGCCCGGGCATGATGGTCCCTCCAGCGGTGGATGTTCCTCGGATTGTGCGAGGCCGGAGCGCTAAGCTCGCCGCTAGTAAACCCAAAGATGGCTGGGAAAGAGCAATTATTTTTTTTTAAATAAAACGTCTGCCTCTTAATAGTCATACAGGCACTTGCTCCCCAATAGACTTCTACAGGGGCCTCCTGGGTGGATTATTATGCTCTTGTTCATTTTACAATCCAGCTCTCTGTTATTGCTTTACTTAATTTTACTTATAAATAGTTGAGCTGGACCATCTATCTGCCCAATACCTTAGCATATATCACTAACTCCCTTCTTACAAGGCAAGTTAGTTAAAGCATTCATAGTTTAGTTTATCTTAGCGCCTTCTTTTGAGAACACTCAGTACAGTAAATTGTGCTCTATGTACTTGTGATATGTTGATCAGATGTATACCTGCTATACTTATGTCTCAATAAAAACTTAAATTACAAAAAAAAAAAATATGTGGGTTATTACCAGTTACTGCATGTACTCATGTGTACTCAAAGCTTGTTCCCAATCTACATGCCAACTGCCTAAAGCTGTGCATCATTTGTAAGCCGACGAACTGAATTTGCTCATACGCCTTGCTTGTCTGGATAAGTATGTGTGCCAAATTATGCAGCTTCATCTCACTTTTTTAAAAACAATTTCTGAGACTAAGCATGAATAAGAATTTCAGACATCAGCATGAACTAGTGCCCTAGGCAGTCTACAGTGATGTTTAAAACACCATTTTTGTCGACCTGATTTTCCGCATTTAAAAAAAAAAATTGTGTTGGTCTAGCAGCAAACTGTAGCACTACCAGATCTTGACGCAAAGTTGTATATAAAGCCGATTACCGTGGCAAGGCCAATCCCACCACTGATACAATATCCCATTGAGATAAGTGATCAAGTCTGGATTGTATGTATTAGCATTATTTATAAACTGCCAATTTATTACACAGGAGAACGAGACAAGTTTGCACAACAAGACTAGATGAACAAGACTCGACAGAACTTTGAACTACTGAAAAGATATTAAAGGGACACTATAGACATCAAAACAACATTAGCCAATGAAGCAGTTTTGGTGTGTAGATCATGCATCTGAAGTCTCACTACATAATTCTCTTCCATTTAGGAGTTAAATCACTTTTGTTTTTGTTTATACAGCCTAAGTCACACCTCCCCTGGCTGTGACTCACACAGCTTGCATGAAAACAAATGGTTTTAATTTTCAGTCAGATGTTAACTTGCTTCAGAAGTTTTTATCTCCTGCCCTGATATTGAACTTTAATCACGGACAGGTGGCTCGTGCAGGGTCTAGAAGGCTATTAACAGAGCAGGAGATAAGGAATTATAAATTAAACTGAATGCTCAATAAAGGAAGTTTAAACATTAGCTCTCTGTATACATACATTGGAAGACTGTGTAGAGGAGGTGTGACTAGTGCTATATGAACAAAGTGATTTAACTCCTAAATGGACTGCAGTAGCATAATCTATACGCCAAAACTGCTTCACTAAACTAGAGTTATTTTGGTGCCTACAGTGTCCCTTTATTATTATAATAGTTTATGGCATAAACAAAATAAAATAGGGCTTCATTACATGAAGATAAATGTGTTGGTGCTTTGCAGTGAGTGAGTATAAAGGCTCAAAACTATTATTCTCGGATGAGAACTACTCGGTGAAAGAGTATCTAGTACACTCCTGAATAAGGCTTAACATTAAATCAGTTTTATTTCCCTATCTCTGCCCCATGTTTAAGCGTAATAAGATCTTTCATCAAAGATTTTATTCTGCTCTTGTTAATGTTTGCAGTGCCTGATTAAAAAAAACACAACTCTTATTAGAGCTGAAACTTTAGAGAGAACTCTGAAAGCAACATTGTAAATATATATTATTCCTTCTTTTGTCAGTTTGTAGCATGCCCAATTTTGTGGTGGTATTTTACAAAGGTAACCACAATTCCATAAGTGTGCAAGGCACAAATCATTAGGGTGTGCACCCAGGAGTTCTTTATCTGTGTTATTTTTTTAATTTTATATAAGCGGAATATTTATAAAAAAAACAAAAAACAAAAAAAACATTCCAAACGCCAGCCTGCTGTAGTAGTTATGGTGCCAAGAATGCACTGGTGTCCTCACAGTGTAATTTACTATACTATTTTAGAACAAGTGCCTGGGGGACTACAGGAAATTGGCAAATTATAGTAAAAGTTACACTGGGAGTTACACTCAAGGCCTGCAGCTGCCACTATTAAAGGGATACTGTAGGCACCCTGATAATTAAAGTGGTCTGGGTGCACTGTACCTTTTGCACCAAGGGCAGAGAATGTTTACATTGCAGCTCTAAGTATGCCTTCAGTGGCTGTCTACCAGACAGCCACTAGAGGGCTTCCGGAAACGAAGCAGACCTTTGGTCTGTTATCGGACGCTGGACGTCCTCACTCTATGCTTGAGGACCTCCAGCGTCAGATTTTCCCCATAGGAAAGCATTGATTAATGCTTTCTTATGGGGAAATACTAAAACGAGTGAGTCCATTGCCACGCATGCGCATTAGGTCTCCTCCGCTGGCTGACGTCAGCTGGGGAGGAGTGTGGACGGAGCCTGACCCAGGGTCGAGGGCCATAAGCAGTGGATTCATGTAAGTGAAAAAACAAAAACATTATAAGGAAAGCAGATAGGTCTTACCTTTATCCCTTCAATTCTAAAGCCAAGTGTTGATGTTGAACTTATAGTCTCTCTCCACTGCATGTACCGAGGCTTTGTCACAGCTTGCTGAACATTTTCCTCATCCGTAGGCGCTTGTGGATTCACCTCGATCATTTTCTTGTACATATCCTTCCTTAACTTTGGCTTGCCACGGGCCTTGGTCAACTCTTCTTCCAAGTACGTCCTACATAATACAAAAGCAAACATATCTCTTTATCTATAGTGCGCTTATCATCTGTCTAAATATGTGTGTTTTTATCTAATCTGCGTCTTATCTCATCTGACAAGGCGTGGACATAGTATAAAGTATCCTTGCATTTGCCACTTCTCAACACTCATTTAGCCCTGCTATATAGTTACCACATGCACAAAGTTTATAAGTGAAAATTCTTTTCATTTTTTTTTACCAGAAGGAACAACATGGACTACTTCAAAACAGAAGAATTAATTCAAGTAACTAGAATATATTTTGAATTTTTAAAAAAACTTATAATGGATATATTCACCTTTTCAATCCCTTCTCTGCTAACATTGCCATTATTTATTGCCCCCCTGGTTACCCTCTCCTCATCCTTGACCACTTTGCTGCCTGGCCACCTTACTTCCTCTCCTCTAATATACCATCCCTAATTCTCAGGGACTTTAATATTCCATTCCATTAACCCACCCCTGACCTCAGCAGCCTCTAAACTACTTTCAATGACTTCCTCCCTTGGGCTATCGCAGTGGGCTAATTCTCCAACCCATGTACCTGGCAATACCCTCGACCTCATTTTTTCTTATGCATGTACAGTGTCTAATATCTCCAACACTCCATTTCCCCTCTCTGACCACAATCTCTTATCCTTTGCTCTCAAATACCCCCTCACCCAACAATGTCCGCCTAACCCCCCCTCAGTTCAGGAGAGCCCTTAATTCTCCTGAGTTGAGAACAGAAGCTGTCAACTAATATTGATTCACAACTTCTATCCATCCCTTCCCTCTCCTGTCCCTCACTGGCCATCTCCACATATAACACTACCTCACCTCTGCCTTGAACGCTGCAGCCCTGCTCCAAACAAGCACCTCGAGGAGGACCCGCCCCCAAGTATGGCATACTAAATCAACACGTTACCTGCAAAGATGCTCCCGTTGTGCTGAACGCTCCTGGAGGAAGTCTCGCACCCTGTCAGACTTTCTCCATTATAGATTCATATTGTGTTCATACAACGCAGCCCTTGCCCTCAACAAACAGTCATACTTTTCCTCTCATTAGCTCATGCTCCCGCAATCCCAGGCATTACCGAAGAGGTAGCTGCACTTCTCCTTTCCTCTCGCCCCACCACTTGCCCGCTCGATCCTGTCCCATCTCACCTTATCAGATCTATCTCCTCTTGTCTTGTGCCTTCCTTAACGCACATCTTCAACTGCTTTCTCTATTCTGGCACTGTCCCTGCTGACCTTAAGCATGTCACTGTTGTACCGATCCTGAAAAAAACATCTCTCGACTCATCCTCCCCCTCTAACAAATCGTCCCATATCCCTGCTCCTTTTTCCTTAAGGCTTCTGGAAAGACTTGTCTTTACCCGTATGTCTCCCTTCCTCAATACCAACTCTCTCCTTGACCCTCCTCAATCTGGCTTTTGCTCCCTCCACTCTACTGAGACTGCTCTTATTAAGGTCGCTAACGACCTAATTGCAGCTAAATCCAAAGGCCACTACTCCATACTAATTCTTTTTGACCTCTCTGCTGCCTTTGACACCATTGATCATGCTCTCCTTCTACAAATTCTTCAATCACCCAGTCTCTGTTCTATCATTGTTTTCCTCTTATCTCTCCCAACGCTCATTCAGTGTCTCCTTTGCTAATGATACCTCTTCTTTTCGTCCTCTTGGTTGCAGTTGCAGACAGACCCACTAAGACCAAACCATTCATAGAAGGACAGTTAAAAGCGTAATGTTTTTTGTTTGTTTATTTTTGACCATTTTTTCACGTTTTAATTTTTTTTTCATTTTACATTTTTGCCAAATATTTTCTCTTTCAATACATTACTTATGCATTGAAAAACATTAGATCAAATTCTGCCTAGACTAACCCTTTAAGAGAAAGTAGTGCAGGACTTGTTTATCAGCATTCAATAGACAATACAGGTTGAATTAATAGTAGTTACCTTTACCCGAGGTGTTTAAACCAGCAGTCTACTTACTGCAACTCACTATGCTATGTAGTCCATTGTCAAACACGCCTGCAACGCCATAACAAACATTTACAAGGCTCACCGTTTCCTGTTTTAATTACCGGTACATTTATGATAGCTCAAGAATAAGTCCTACAGAGTTTCTTAACTGGAATATGAAGTTTGTGGTCAATCACTTCTTCTTAGTCTACTTTAGTAATATATATTTTGTTTATTTTACAACCACAGGGACTCCCCAAGCAGAAGTCATCACTAAAACCATGGAGGGGGGAGAGGGGATGTGACTTTCATGAACTATTCCTTTTTTTATTTACAAGAATCTTACAGTACATTCTGTAGAAAAATACACATAGATCTCCCACAGGCCTATTGTCTATTCACAAATAGAACGTATAACTAGTAACAGCAGCAGATGGGTTCATTCAGTAATGTCTGTACATATGTATAGTTGGTTTAAACAGCACTGAAATGTGTTTATCTTAAAGCAGACTGCAGAAACGCATTAAATTGCAATTCGTGTCAGGTCTTGAACATGTGCCTTTGGGTTTTAATGGATAACATGTTTGTGGGTGATGTCGTGCCACTCCCAAATGTAAAACAAACTAAATTACTTTTATATGACACCTTATTCTAAATTCTGAAGATCCCACCCATTATTAAAATATACAATGAATATATACACACACACACACACACACAAATACATACAAACACAATATGCACAAACATATATAAATATTAAAAGCAGATGTACAATAGACACATTTATATGCATGTATTAGCACACACACACACACACAAACCATTGATCCATTTATAAGCCAAGAGCATGTGGTGATATGTTACATTTTAATGCAATGGTCAGTATATTTACAAAAATGTGATCGATAACAGGGCCAATGAGTGTATGAGATTTAAGATATTGTCTTGATTGATTGTAGACAAAGCTAAGCTGGGTACCTAAGACCCAGCATTTTATTTGTTTAGATAACTAGGTTTGCCTACATTTCTGCAGGCAAAGTGATTTTTTTATGATACTATTCATATTTAGAAAGTTCCTCAACTAATAGTTTGTCGTTTTGGCTTTCTAGACAATTTTTAAACAATTTTCGAAAAACAAAATCAAACAAATATGTAGTCAAGAAGTCCATATTGTACAGCAATAACATACTGCAGGCCAGAAGGAGCATCCATTGGACAAATTATTGTTGCAGTTAAAGGGACACTATAGGCACCCAGACCACTTCAGCTCATTGACATGGTCTGGGTGCAGTGTCCCAGGTACCCTAACCCTGAGCAGGTATTTATTATTACCTGCTAGGGTTAACTCCACCTCTAGTGGCTGTCTACCAGACGTCCAGTCACACAAAATTACATAGGAAAGCATTGAAAGCCATTGCCGACGCCAGGAGAGAAGGCAGATCCAAGCAAGCGCCAAGGGACATTGGGGATGGACTGAAGTGACAGAAGTGGTTTTTAACACCTTCTGCACCATGGGGGGGAGGGTGGGACTGCGACAGAGGGTGAAGATATAATGCTAGGAAAACAAGTTTGTTTTCCTGGCACTATAGTTTACCTTTAAACATTGTACATCTTCCATGTTACACTACATAAATTGTTAGTTGGTTAAAGGGACATTACAGTCACCTGGGCAAAAAGTTAAAAAAGCTAGGGTTATCATTTTACATTTGAGATGGCATTACCAGTAAGTCCTCCCTATATTTTAACAAACCAGCAGGATGGGTTTTATAAATGTTTACAGGGCCGCCATCAGGGGGTGACTACCATGACGGTTGTCACGGGCCCGACGGCCCGCTGTTTAAAAAGTTTGAGGACCCCTGTCATTATGTATGTATGTATTTCATTATGAATGTTTGTCTGTATGTATGCATGTATGTCTGCATGTCATTATGAACGGATGTCTGTGTGTATGTGTGTATGGATGTCAGTATGCATGTACGTCAGTATGTATGAATGTATGTATGTATGTCTGTCAGTAGGTCTGTATATATGCATGTATGCCAGTATGAATGTATGTCTGTCTGTGTGTGTATGGATGTCAGTGTCTGTAGGGCCGGCCTTAGGGGTGTGCGAGCTGTGCGGCCGCACAGGGCGCCATGGCAACAGGTGCGCCGGGCGGCCAACACAGCTCGCAGGCCGGCTGAGTTCTGTATTTAAAGTGCAAGTCAAGTGCATAATACTGCTTTGCACTTGACTTGCAAATTATGAGCAGAGAGCCGCCGCCGGGAATCCACTTCTGTATGGAGGGTGGAGGAGGAGCGTGGGGGCGTTATGCCGCGTACTTGCGTAACGTCGACGTGCTCTGTCATCAGAGGGAGCCGCGGAAGGATCCAATTCAGTGAGTGAAGGCGGCACCCGGTGCTCTTCAATCGGCGGAGACAGCTCAGTCCAGGGAGCAGCAGCCTTTACTGTGAGTGACTTTTTTTTTCTTTTTTATTAAATAGGTTTTGTTGAAGAGGTGCAGGAATTTAATTAAGGGGGGCAGGGGATTGATGAAGGGGTGGCATGGATTGCATTAATTGGCAGGGGATTTATTAAGGGGGCTGATAAAGGGTGGCAGGAAACTGAAAAGGGGGGCATGGGGCTGATTAAAGGGGGCAGGTGGTTGATAAAGGAGTGGGAGGGGATTGATGAGGAGATCAGGGGGCTGATGAAATGGGGGCAGATGGCTGATAAATAGGTGGGAGGGAATTGATGAGGGGGCAGGGGACTGATGAAGGGGTGGCCAGGGGTTGGATTATTTGGCATGGGATGTATTAAGGGGGCTGATGAAGGGGAGCAGGGGGTTGAAAAGGGGGGCATGGGACTGATTAAAGGGGGGCAGGTGGGTGATAGGGGTGGGAGGGTACTGATGAGGGGGTCAGGGGGCTGATAAAAGGGGGAGGGGATTGGTGAGGGGGTCAGGGGACTGATGAATGGGGCAGAGGGCTGTTAAAGGGGTGGGAGGGGATTGATTAGGGGGTCAGGCGGCTGATGAATAGGGGCAGAGGGCTGAGTAAAGGGTGGGAGGGAATTGATGAGAGGGGCAGGGGACTGATGAAGGGGTGGCAGGAATTGATAAAGGGGTGGGAGGGGATTGATGAAGGGTAAGGGGTGGCTAGGAGTTTGACGAAGGGATGGCCAGGGCATTGATGAAGGGGAAGGGGTGGCCAGGAGTTTGATGAAGTGGTGGCCAGGGGCTTGGTGAAGATCTGGCCAGGGATTTTGGTTAAGAGGTGCAGTGGTTTTGTAGAAGGGGGTGGAGGCAACAGATTGTGAATGCTCCTAAAATAGTTTGAAGGGGTCCAAACAGAGACAGGTGAGGGGGGGGGGGGCGCCACAAGATTGTTTCGCACAGGGCGCCTGAACACCTAAGGCCGGCCCTGAGTGTCTGTATGAATGTATGTCTGTCAGTATGTATGCCAGTATGAATGAATGTATGTCTGTATGTATGTCGGTGTATGTATGTGTATGTCCTCATGCATATGTGTCTGTATGTATGTTAGTATGTGTCTATCTATCTGTCACTATGTATGCCTGTGTGTCTGTATATGTGTGTATGTCTCAGTATATGTGTGTCAGTATGTATGCCTATATGCATGTATGTCTGTTTCAGTATGTGTGTGTGTATCTGTGTCCTTTTGTATCAATGTGTGTTTTTGTGTCTGTGTTAGTATTCCTGTGGGCGGGATTTGGAGGCAGACCCTGTGGGCGGGATTGGAGGCGGGCCTTAGGGGGGCCCAGACCCTGAGCTGAGTTAAAATTTCTGGTGGCGGCCCTAAATGGTTATTAATAGAGTTATTTACCAAAGTGAGACTTCAAAGTGAATTTAAAATCTACGGCCAAACTAGAAAAACTTGAAAAATTCTCGGAATTGGTTACACTTTTAGTTTGATAATTTGACCTTTGAAAATTACTTGGAATTCACACTTTAGTTAATTACACTGTAAGTCTTTGCGCCTGCAGCATATGGGTTCTACTAACTGTTATACCCATTGTACAGCGCTACGGAATCTGATGGCGCTATATATATAATAAAAATAATAATATGGGGTCATCTTGCCCCCACTTTCATTTATTTACAAAGCAGTGACTTATGCAGGATGACCACCTGCCAGATCTTTATTCCACACACACCCTGGTTAATGGGGACTTGTGGACCTAGTTTTTTATTTTTTAATTAAGGTTTTGTTTTTTTTACATTTATAATTCTTTATTTTGGATGTGTGTTTAAAGCAAGAATAACGGTACACACATTTATAGATTGTCAGGAGAAGTACAAATTTCTATCAGTAAATGTATATAAGTTGTAAACAGCACATTTTGGTAAATTATAACAAGAGGTACCTAATGCGGAGCTGTGTAGACAACAGAAAGAGTAATGAGTAGAGCTTAAGCACTGCATATAGGATCAACTGCGCAGAACAGAGAGAGTAAAACAGGTAGCTTAGTTGACACTTATATTAACAGGAGCCATCTCCACTGAGTGCAGCCCACGACATAAGGGAGTCCCTCAGACTGCTTAGGCTCACCCAACACCTGACCTGCAAGGTTTGTGACATGATAGAAGTGAGTCCTGCCTGATGTGTGCTGAGAGAGGGGAGAAGACGGGTGAGTGCACACCAGACGTGTGATCCCTTGCCGGTTTCAGCTGGAAAGCAGGAGTGCTGTGCAGGCTGGCAGGGGCAGCGGCGTGAAGTGAGGAGTGACCAGGTAGGAATTCCCAAACACACCTCAAAGCATGAGCCAGGGATCCAGAGGGGTCTTCCACAATTACATCGGTCAACGAGAAGTGGTGTAGCTGTGTTAGGCTTCTCTGACTCTCTACCATTCGCCTCAGGAAAGCTGCGAGATTGCCATGTAGCTGTTGCATGGTGGTCTCGCAGATTCACCTTCCACCTCCGCCATTTTGGGCATTGAGAGCTCTCTTGGTGTGTGTGCCACTGATCGTGGAGATAGTCTGCTGGGACCGGGATGACCCGCATCAGCCCAGAGGGGGTGGGGGAGACACGAGGGCCCAGACACGAGACTTCAGCCTTCTGTGGGAGCATGAGAGCGTCCATCTCCCCTGCACCAATCATGCTTGTAAGCCACAGAGCCAAAGCAAACTATTCTTCAGAAATGGCAGCTCAAAAGGTATCACCATGTTGTCTCCTGGCAAGTAGTGGACAAGATAAGACAGATTATGCTGTTTATCTGCAGATATTTAGTAAAATCAATATAAACGTGCAGGAGCTGCTGTGACTTGCTTCTGCTCAGCTCTGCGGTCAGGCCCCCCCCCCCCTTTTTACGTTTTTCCTTCTGGACATTATTTGCACACATTATTTTAAAGTAGATAGGACACAAGAAATCTTTTCCCCTTTTCCTCACTAAGTTCTATCCACACGTAAAATAATACGCACTAAAATACGGTTTATCGCATACAATAAAGTTTATATTTCACTGCCAATTTTTTACTATGTGGAAAATAGGTCTTACTAAAAGAGGCTGACCATTTTTAAACATATACGACAAACCATTTGTGCAACGGAAGTAGAACTGAAAACCAGAACAAAATGGTATCATTTAGCTAGCTTTTCCCCCCTAAACATTACAAATAATAGATTGAGGCACCTTGAGTAAACTAAAAATAGTAATCTTTCACTTGAGACACCTATCGTAGCCCTCTAGTGGCAAGTCATGGAATTGGCTTAGTTTTCTTGCTGGTCAGTACTAAATGCTAACAATGTAATAGAAGGGCCCTCACCTCCCGACACTATGACTTGATTTGGCTTTTTGGTGTTGTGGAACTGAGGGCACATTTGATTGGACTGATCTTTAATTTGTTCTTTCTGGACCAAAATAATCATTTATAAAGTTCTAATATTCACTGAAATCATTACCATGCCCATCATTAAACCCTTTCAAATAATAATGTATGCATTTACGAGAATCTGTACTTTGCCTCTGTATCTATAAAGATTCCTTGAGCATTCATTGTCAGACAGCGGCTAGAACACCTAATCATAGTCTACTGGAATTTCGCAAACATTCCCATCTTCTGGTAATGCATAAAAATATATAGGATTCAGGAGAAGTTCGACTGGTTAGCTTTACTCACCCACAATTAACTCCAGGCTACGTGAACAACCTTTCATGTTTCTCGAGAACAGCTATATAATTATAATTTGAACGTTTAAATATTTGTTCTGATATGTTTAAAAAAGAAAAAAGGTGGGGGAGGGGGCAGAACCTGACCTTGGAGCTGTCTAGACGTATGCAGAAGAGGCTCTCAGCTATTCAGTTAATTTTGGGGAAATGAGCCCAAACACTGAGCTGACATACTCACCAAAGTGCACTACCCACGTCGGGAGTGTTCAGGCAACTCGATTGAGACTTCACCCGTGTTTTTCAGCCTCCTAAACCTCAAAACACTTAGCTTCGGCCTACTGGACATGAAGCAGGCGGCCGCTCTTCCCGCTCCTAGGTTTACAGTTGTGGCCCTGCTGACCTTCTACCCCCCTCCTCTGGACCTGTGTGGGTTATCCCAATCCCCACTGGACAGCTACATACTGGCCAAGCCTTATCTACCTCTCGCCTCCAGCCATCACTGACACAAACCACGACGACCTAAGATGGCGGCTGTCACCCCGCATGGCACGAGAGAGCTAAACATAAATCATACAGCTCACAGTAGCAACACAGACCTCTGTATACTACGCCTAGAGGATATCTTCAGGTGCTTCTGGATGCAGCTCAAACAGCGGGCAGAGGCTGCTCAGTTCACCCTCCGGAAAGAAGCTGAGAAGGGCGAGCAACAAAATGGTGGGAAAGACCCTTCTAGACATCAAGCTACAGAAATCACGGACGCAACGGCCTATTCGTCGGCATAGATCAAGAGGCACTGTAAGCCTTACCTCCTCACAGTGCACTCAGGTGCGGAAGACTACCCGCCGAAAGCGGCAGGCTTTGCCCAGATCCAGGTGTTACCCCCGGTGGAGGAGAAAGCTGGTCCTCATGGACCTCCGAGCCCATGGAGCAGTGGATTTGGCTTCTGTGGAGTTTTGGAGATGGGGGAAAACAACACCTGGGATCCATTTTGCAACCTTACACATGGACTCTCTTACAGACAGCTTCACCCTACCCCTTGTGGGAGTTGACTGACTCTGGCCTCGGGCCCACATCTCCACTTCATTTGCAGTGAGCCATCCTGACAGTCCTACATTATCTGTCTCACATCCAGTTATTCCTATTATTTTTTATGTTTCCTTAAAGGAGCACTATAGTGGCAGGAAAACATACTCATTTCCTGGCACTGTAGTGCCCTGAGGGTGCCCCCACCCTCAGGGTCCCCCTCCCGCCCGCTCTGGAAGGGGGAAAGGGGTAAAAACGTACCTTTTTCCAGCGCTGGGCGGGGAGCTCTCCTCCTCCGATCCTCCTCCGTTCCACCTCCTGGGCTGAATGCGCACGCACGGCAAGAGCAGCGCGCGCATTCAGCCGGTCACATAGGAAAGCATTCATAATGCTTTCCTATGGACGCTGGCGTGCTCTCACTATGAAAATCACAGTGAGAAGCACGCAAGCGCCTCTAGTGGCTGTCAATGAGACAGCCACTAGAGGAAATAGGGGAAGGCTTAACCCATTCACAAACATAGCAGTTTCTCTGAAACTGCTATGTTTATGAAAAAATGGGTTAAACCTAGCTGGACCTGGCACCCAGACCACTTCATTAAGCTGAAGTGGTCTGGATGCCTAGAGTGGTCCTTTAAGTTTCCCTTGAATATTTTTCTAGCATGTCAAACTGCTACCCTAATAGCTATGTCTTTATATCAGTGAGCTTATGCCATGCTTTTAATATTCTATGATTTCAGGTATACAAAGCATAGAACCTTGTACACGTCTCTCTACTCCTGACTACATATTCAATCACTAATAAGACTTGCAAGTTTAGCTTGTTCATATAATAAATAAATAAATAAATTATTATGTGCACTTTTCATACTACTGTTTTAGTTTTTATATGTCTGTCTACGCTGTTGTGGCGTTCAATGCTGAATTGTACCTACATGCACATCAAAAATAAAGAATTTTTAAAGATGAAAAGAAAAAAAGAGAGAAAATCTTGCTGTGCTGTGTAATGTGGGAAGTTGGAAAATTTAAAAAAAATTTCATGTGCACAAAATCATTTGCTTCCCATTTCATACTCCTAATACTCATCAGAAACATAGAAACATTCGATATTGTGAAATGACACAGTATGGTGCAACTACTTTCAATTTATGACAGTACATTTTGTACGGACTGCTTAGCATTCTGATCATTTTACTTTGCATGGGAAAAAACAAACAGGTAAGGTGAAATGGAGGATAAAACAAACATTTGAAGATGTAGTTTTATGGTATAGCCTAAAGAAACTATCTAAAAAGCCCAGAACTTTACTATCTAAAATGTCAGGTTAAAATGTGACTATCAAAATGTAGGGTTTGAGGCAAATACTTTTAAATCTGAATTTCTCAGAGTTTAATTCCTAATGTCTTTAAAAGGGACTTGACAACTAAACACTATAGGGCCAGGAACACAAACATGTATTTCTGACCCTATAGTATTAAACTAACTATTTAGCCCCCCGTGACACCCTAATGCACCCCTTAAAGCTAGTAAAAACTCACCTTATTTCCAGCGCAGAGCAGATCTGCCGGTGCTGGCTTCACCCTCGAACCGCCTCCTTGGCTGACATAATAAGAATGAATGATCTCAGTCAATCACAATGTTTTCCCATAGGAAAGAATTGGATTGGCTGAAATAGTCACTTCTGATGATCTCTGCCAAGGAGGCGGGCCAGGGGCAGGTGCAGAGCAAAACACCACCCTGGCCAATAGCAACTCCTCATAGAGATGCATTGAATAAATGCATCTCTATGAGGAAAGTTCAGCGCCTCCATGAAGAGCATGAAGACACTGATGGTCACCCAGGAAGCACCTCTAGTGGCAGTCTGAGTAGTGGCCACTGGAGTTATCCCTAAGCTCTAATGTAAACACTGTCTTTTCTCTTAAAAGACAGGTAGACAGCCACAATAGGAAGTCTTAATCTTGCAAAATAAACTCAACTCAATTGTGTGGCATGGATGATTATCAAGAAGCTCCAGCAAAAATCATGCACGCGCCACTGTGTAAGTGTTGTATATGCGTCCTTTGGTGGATGTTGTAATTCCTTGCACCAGCTCTGCTATGAGTTTTATTTCTATGAAGCAGTGACTTACATTGTTATGAACACCAAAAAAAATTGTTGCTCCCACAAAAGAATGACTTTAGAGCAGAAAATAGTAGAAGGACCTGAACTCAAAATAGGGACTCACCCAACAACAGGTGAACATTGAAGATTTGGAAAAATAAACAATTAAAAAAAGTATAATTCCTACCTGACTCCCATTTTACAGTCCATAACACAGGGCTCATCAAAGTTGTTGAGTAGGTCATCCAACTGAATGTAGCTTTCACCATCTCTTTCCACGACTCCATGAAACGTAGGGACACAGCAGCTCAGGGAATCGTTCATAAGCAACTCAAAGCAATTCTTCTCATTCTCCGAGTATCGTTTCAAAATTGTACCACCAGCTGCTGCTTTGAAACTTCCTATGAAAATAAGAACCACAATTACTGCATTAAGTAGACATAAAATACATAGTGACTCTGTAAGTGATCAAGCCACATAGTTGACAATTATCAAACTGGACAAGTTACATGCCTGCAAAGAAGATACCATAAAATGACTATATAGAAAGCACACAAGTAGGCATTTGTAGTCATTTATATAACCCTTATCTCAAAAGAACCCCAAAGGACCATGAATGGAAGCCTGCAGGTTACAGATAAGTGGTTCTTAACATCTGGGTAAGAACTCACAACTGGCTCGCCAAATGTTTGTGTCATGGCTCTCACCGTCCAGTCGCCCCACAGTTGCCAGACAGGGGATTTGAACCTGGGTCCTTTGTTGTCTGCTATACTGCCTCTGAGTCACAGTAGATCCTGTACTTTTGAGTTGTTCTAGCCCTGTTATACCTGGCTATGTCTGCAGCACTAGGGGGCTGGACTTCTGTGGCTATTGCCTGTGCTTCACCTGAGGCAGCTAGCTCATCAGCTGGGTATAAAACACTGCCCCTCCCTGAGTACATTCTCAGTTTTTTGATTCTGGTTAACGTGTGTAGTTCTTGCTTTCTAGTCTCCTGAGCTTGTTATCCAGATTGACCCCGGCTTCTGACCTTGGCTCCACTCATAGTTTATTGACCTCTGGCATCCTCTGACTTTGGCTACTCCTCGTTTATCCTGACCTCTGGCATCCTCTGACTTTGGCTACTCCTCCTTTATCCTGACCTCTGGCATCCTCTGACTTCGGCTAATCCTTGTTTATCCTGACCTCTGGCATCCTCTGACTTCGGCTAATCCTTGTTGTCCTGACCTCTGGCATCCCTCTCTGACTTCGGCTAATCCTTGTTTATCTGACCTCTGGCATCCTCTGACGGCTACTCCTCGTTTATCCTGACCTCTGGCATCCTCTGACTTCGGCTACTCCTCGTTTATCCTGACCTCTGGCATCCTCTGACTTCGGCTACTCCTCGTTTATCCTGACCTCTGGCATCCTCTGACTTCGGCTACTCCTCGTTTATCCTGACCTCTGGCATCCTCTGACTTCGGCTAGTCCTTGTTTATCCTGACCTCTGGCATCCTCTGACTTCGGCTAGTCCTTGTTTATCCTGACCTCTGGCATCCTCTGACTTCGGCTACTCCTCGTTTATCCTGACCTCTGGCATCTTCTGACTTTGGCTACTCCTTGTTTATCTGACCTCTGGCATCCTCTGACTTCAGCTACACCTTGACTATCCTTCTGCTTGTGACTTTGTCTGTACTGCGTATTGGAGCACCTCTCCTTCACAGTCCCCGTGCACAGACTCACAGTCCAGGTGGCTTCTTACCTGGTCACCTTGGACTGTGTTTATCGATAAGGGTGAGAGAATATCTCTGCGCTTCAGACTCCCATCTGAGGTAAGATCCTGACAGTTGGGACACATCACATTTATCCTAAGGCAACTTCCCACAATAAGATGTTTATTATATCATATCTACAGTGCAATAAAAACCAAATAAGAAAAGTATAATCAAAGTTTGTTTTTTTTAAATAATTTTTTTTCAATAATCACACTAAAGTTTAAAGTGACACTGTAGGCTCCATAACCGCTTCTTTTTCTTTTTTTTTCTAGTTTTTGTGCTGTACTTGATTTTTGAAAAATCTTCCACATTCTTACGTTTACATCCTAAACATACCTAATTAAAGGTACACTATAGTGCCAGGAAAAAAAAAAACTTGTTTTCCTGGCACTATGTAGTCCTTAGGTCCCCCCCACCCTCATTGCCCCCCTCCCGCTGGGCTGAAGGGGTTAAAACACTTACCTTTCTCCAGCGCTGGGCTCCCTTGGCAGTGTCAGTGAGACAGCCACTAGAGGCTGGATTAACCCTCAGTGTAAACATAGCAGTTTCTCTGAAACTGCAATGTTAACAACTGCAGGGTTAAGACCTTGGGGACCTGGCACCCAGACCACTTAACGGAGCTGAAGTGGTCTGGGTGCCTATAGTGGTCCTTTAATGTTACTTTCTTTCCTCCTATTTCTACCCCTTATCTAAGCAGAAATAAACACCTACCCACCCATGTGATCAGTGACTCCTCTGTAGATACAGTTAACGAACAATAATGATCTTCTTATTAACTATGTACCTCATGTTCCTTCTACAGGTTACTCAATGGAAACTTCAGCTACCATAAGCACTGTTTTCTGTATTTTTGGACAAACCTCTGTTACTCAAACTCCAACCCCTACACCCCAAAATAATTTCAGAAAGATTAATGCCTAGATCAGAATGTGATGCTCTGTAGTGGTTATGGTGCTGCATATTTGTCTCTTTTACTCAACACACACTATGAACCTTTCCTTTACTGTTTTGCTCAATTAACTTGTGTTTTTCATATATCCCAATACATTTAATAATTTAAACTAGTTTCACATCAAATCCCATCCTTGATTTAAAATTTATATTAAGTTCTATTTTGGTAGAATAGGCCTTATCTTAGTCAATAAATAGATGTATGGTAAGTGGGTTTCAGAATATGCTGAAGCTTATTAAAGTATAATAATATTTGCTACCAGCATCGAACAGCTTTGTATGGTTTGCATCCTTAAATTGCAAAATGTCATATTTCTCAGCCTCTGGTGCATAAAGAAGGTTGTTTGGAAAGTGATTTAGGAATATCAAACAAACAACACAGTGTGACAGTAGAAAAATAAATATGTGACTATGTGTCTCACAAAACAAAAGTTTTATTAGTGGCACAATAAAAAAGAATTTTAGCAGAAAAGAGTGATTTTTTTTTAATTGTACTAGTTTAATATACTAAGTAATGAACAAAATAGAACATGACAAAAGGAAAAACAGAACAAGAAATAAAAATCATCCATCAATGGTTTTGGTTTTTTGCGAATGGGGAGCTTATGGTAGACTGAGAGCATCAGCTGAAGTCTCAGACCATAGCCAGAAATTCCAAGATTTTACTATTAACATGACGTAAAGTCATGATTTTATTAATGACACGGAGGAGAGTATTATGCTTCTCTTTCTTTAATTTTCCCTCAGCAGCAAAGAAAAAAAATGTATGTAAAAGAGAAAAACAACATAACATTAGCATATTCAACAGTGCTACTAATCAGTATCCACCCCCTTCAGCATATAAGGTGTAGCACTCTCTTCCTCTTCCTCTAGTGATCCGAAGACCAGCCAATAACCGAACGATAAACTTGAACCAGAACTGTAACATCGCATAGCAGTCATACATCCATTATTTATGGGAAAACAGTAGAGCCGTCCTTGAAATTTTCTTTATCACCCCGATATAAGTATTCAGGCTAAAAGAGAGGAGAAATATGGTAATATCTCGATTGACACCTGGTTGTAACATACCACAATATATATATGGCTACCTAGGTCTGGAGAAAAACCATAGTCATAACATCATAAGACATGAAAACGTATTGTAAAACTAGCGTGATAAGCTAAGCTTTATAGTCAATTATCTGATAAGAGACAGGAAAATCCAACCTGTAAGGTAGGAGGATAGAGGCAGACACAATCTAAGACTGACAGGCATGTGAATCCCACAAACTCCACCCAGGGAGGGTGGGAGGGAATAATACTCGCCTCCGTGTCATTAATAAAATCATGACTTTACATCATGTTAATAGTAAAATCTTGGAATTTTATTAAAGACACGAAGGCTCCTATTATGCTCTTTTAAAGCGGAGCTATAACCCTTTCTGAGAAGTGCTGTATAGGTTTAAAATAAAAATTCCGGAATGTGGATTCTGTAGACCAATCTGCGGCCTTCAAGATGTCTTCCAATCGACACCCTATCGCCGATGCCTTAGAGGCCATAGCGCCCCTGACGGAGTGGGATGAGAAAACAGAGACATCTATCCCGGCCGAAGCCAATAACCATTTGACCCAACGGGCGAGCGTAGGTGTAGTTACAGGGAGATGTGGTTTCTTCAGTGAGATGAACAGAGGTCCGTCATTAGACGGGCGTAGAGCAGAAGTGCGAGATTCGTATTCTTTCAGGCACAGATTGGGTTGATTTGCGATTCTTGGGTAAAAGACCTGTTTAGTTGCCGAGTTCGTTCTCCGCGAGATATCGAATGACACTCCATCCGGAGTGAACATGCGGGCCTGCCAATCCAAAGCTCTTACATCAGACACTCATTTACAGGATAGTAGACAAAACAGCATAAGCAGTTTTGCCGACAATTGTTTTGAAGACAATTCCGTGTTATGGGGCCATTCGTCCAGAAGCTTGAACACCACGTTGGCATCCCAAAAGGATCCATATATAGGTTTAGGTGGGCGCAGGAAACGAACACCCTTAAGCAGACGACAGACCAAGGGGTTCTGTCCGAGTAGGAGTCCGTCCACCTTATCATGGCCCGCCAAAATTGCAGAGCGGTACAGGTTGATGGTGCGGAAGGCTTTGCCTGATTCGAACAGATGTGTCAGGAAATCCAACACCGTCTTCACAGAGGCTGATACAGGATCCAACGATCGTTCCAAGCACCAATTGGCCCACTGTCTCCAAGCCGCAGTATAGGCATGTCGTGTTCCCGGTGCCCATGCGTTTACCAGAAGTTGTGTAGTTGTTCTCGAAACTTCTGTGATTTCCCAGGGTCCCTGGAAAGGAGCCACGCCATGAGACGGAGGAGCCCTTGTTCTATCAGAGTGTGACTCTCCCCGTCCGGATTGGTTAGAAGAGATGGGTGATCTGGTAACAACCGTGGGCGATTGATCGCCATTTCCAATAGGTGGGGAAACCAAGGTTGGGACCTCCAACATGGGGTTATCAGGACCATCGTGCTCTTGTAGCGTCGGAGGTATGCCAGGGATCGAGCAATCAGATTGAATGGAGGGAAGGCATAAGCCCGGCCTTTGGTCCAATCCTGGAGGAATGCATCGGTTGCCATGGCTTCCGGGTCTGCTCGCAAGCTGGAGAACCGAGGTAGTTGCGTGTTCAGTCTGGACGCAAACAGGTCCACACTCAAAGGTCCCCATTATTGGGTGATCTTGTGGAACACATTCGGTTGAAGTCTCCAATCTCCCGAGTCCCTCAGGTAACGGGAATTCCAATCCGTGGTGTAATTGTCCAGGCCTGGGGTGTGTTCCACGGTAACGGACACATTGTTCTGTAAACAGTAATGCCAAAAATCTCGAGCCAAGACCGCTAAGATGCGTGACTTGGTGCCTCCCAGATGGTTTATATACCGTACTGCTGAGACATTGTCCAGTTTAAGTAGGATCGAGCATGAGATGCCGCTGGGTGAGAGGCTGCGGATGGCAAACGAGGCTGCTAGTAGTTCCAGAGAGTTTATATGTAGAAACGATTCGTCCGTGGACCATCTGCCTCCGGTGGATATGGAGCCACAGCGCGCGCCCCAGCCATGTAAGCTGGCATCCAACTATCACCAGGTCCGGGGTGGAACCGAAGATCGCTCGTCCGTTCCACGCTTCCATGTGGGTCAACCACCAGTTCAGTTCTTCTCTGGATTCCACGTCCAGAGTAACATGGGATTCGTATGAGTGGCCATTTCTTAAGCAGGTCGCTTTCAGCCGTTGTAGCGCCCGGTAGTGAAGCGGATCCGGAAAGATCGCCTGGATGGAGGCCGCCAATAGTCCAATGACCCGTGCCAATTGTCTCATGGAGATGTCCGGGCGGTTCAAAAGTCGCCTTATCTCTTTTTTGATGTTGGACATCTTTTCTGCCGGGAGGCATAGAATCTGTCGAACGGAGTCGACTCGGAATCCCAGGAATTCCATTTGTTGTGAAGGTCTTTGAACCGATTTCTTCCAGTTCACCAGGAAACCGAGGTTCTGAATGAGATGCAGGGTGCATGATAAATGAACCAACAGTAGGGACCGCGTCCCGGAGAGCAGGAGGATATCATCCAGATAAATAATAAGCCGGACCCCGTGTAGTCTGAGGAAGGTAACCACTGGTTTCAGTACTTTTGTTAAGCACCAGGGAGCGGAGGACAGTCTAAAGGGAAGGCATGTGAAACACCATTTCTTTGTCCCCCACGGGAATTGAAGCAGATCTCTGTGCTCTGCCGCTATCGGGACTGTCAGATATGCGTCCTGCAAATCTAGTTTGACTATCCAGTCCCCGTGGAGGAGTAGGTCTAGGAAGCAATGTATGCCCTCCATCTTGAAGCGTCGATATTGGACAAAGGCGTTTAAGGGCCGCAGGTTTATAACCGGGCGAATGCCTCCTCCCTTTTTCGGCACTAAGAACAGGTTGCTCACAAAACCTGGAGTATCTAGAGGGATTTCCTCTATAGCCTTCTTGGCTTGCAGTTCCCTGATCTCCGAAGAGATGAGATCGTGGTGGGATTGTGACATGTGAAGCACCCACGGAGGGGTGCCCTGAACGGGAAAGGCCGTCAATTCTAGGTGGTAACCCTCTATAGTCTGCAACACCCAACTGTCGAATGTGATCATAGCCCAGGCCTGATAGAACAAGGCCAATCTGCCCCCCACATTTATATGGGAAAAATGGGGAAACAGTGCACTCACCATAAGGGTGTTTTCCTGTGGATGCTCCTTGATCGCCGCAGGCATTCCAAGGTCTTCCTCGTGAAGGGAAGAACGGAGTGTAGGAATGCTCTTGGTTCAGTTTTTGAGGGTTGAAGGAGCCTCTGCCCGTTCTGGAAAAACCCCGGGGATTCCGGCCGGATAGACAGCTCCTACCTCTACCGGCCCCACCAAAAACCTTTTGGTTGAAGACACGTTTGATGGATGATTGGGCTTTGTCCAAGGCCATGAAGGTCTTTACATAGGAGCCCAGGTCCTTTGAGAAGGACTCTCCGAACAACAAGCCTTTTGCGGAGGCACCTGGTTCATTGGGAGCCATGCTAGCTAGCTTGGGCTCGATCTTGAGCAGGATGGCTTTCCTGCATTCGGTAGACATGGCCGTGTTGGCGTTGCCGATCATACAAACCAGGCGTTGGAGCCATCCAAATGCTACATCAAAATACAGTTGTGCCTCGCCCGACTGAGCTGCTTCAAGCAGTTCATATAACTTAGTGACCGGACCCAGAGTGTCTAGGAACTTATCCTGACCGTTTCGAACTTTCAACCGATCTTAGCCAAAAATTGGGCAATTTGTGGGTCGACTTCAGGGTTTTTTTGCCACTGCATCTGGTATGATAGGTCAGGGGCATTCCGCCCTCAGCTTATTACGACCCTCCTGGGAGAGGGATTTACGTACTCTGAGAGCTAGGTATTAAGCGATGTGCTCAGAGCGCTCCCATTCAGCGGAGCAAGGGTGTCTCAAATTGTCTGTGTCGAACGCAAGTGTCTCCTTTGTGTCACGGGCTGTGTCTGCCCCAGGTGTTTCCGACTGTGCCTTGGCATGAGTCTGTCTAGATGGGAATTGTGTTCCCGGGAGGTCCTCACCTCCTGAGTCCTCTCCAGCTGACTGCATGACTACAGTAAGTGAGTGCAAGGAAGAAAATAAATAAAAGACAAAAGGTGCAGGATTGCTTAATCCAAGCACAGGGTAGGGGTAATCTGAGAGTAAAAGTAGCAAATCCTGGGTGATTTTAGTGGAGCAGCTTTGTGTGCAGCGTCTAGATCCGTTCAAAACTGCAGCATGAGTGTTGAAATGGCCGCCGGCATAGGGCAGCGACAGAAAACCAAAAAGATGGCCGCCGCAAGTGTAGTGCGCATGAGCGGCGCTCGCAAGCGGCGAAAGTTAAAGTAAAAAACTAACCGCCACGTGGAAGCCGGCGGGTATAATGAAGGGAGCCAGGAACGGGGTGAGGGTAGGAAGCCCTCGTAACAGTTCCCGGTCGGGAGAGGGGCCAGGGAGAAAAGCACCCACCCAGAGGGGGGAAAAGACCCTGATTTGCCAGACAAGGCAGACCTGCCGAACACCACAGGACCCAGGGGACACAAATACAGTATAATGCAGTAAATACACAAATAACACTACAATATCTAAATATGAGTTAAGAAGTCATAGACAGTAATAATAGTAAAAGTAAACTAGTGGGAGCAAAAACATAAGCCCCTAAGTGAATAGGGATAACATATACAGTCCCAGATCAATTATATCACAAAGCAAGTAGGAGAATAATGTACTTAGCTGGTCTGATCGAGCAGCGAAGAAAGAGGAAGAGGAAGAGAGTGCTTCACCTTATATGCTGAAGGGGGTGGATACTGATTAGTAGCACTGTTGAATATGCTAATGTTATGTTGTTTTTCTCTTTTACATACATTTTTTCTCTTGGCTGCTGAGGGAAAATGAAAGAAAGAGAAGCATAATAGGAGCCTCCATGTCTTTACTAAAATCAGGGTGCAGAGTGGGCGGGCACCACCTTCACAAATTTGGGGATAAACAGTTTGTAAATGGTTTAACCCCTTAAAGTAATACGATGCCAAGTACCTACTGGCACCATAACAATTTCATTGAGGTGAAGTTGTCATGGTCAGTGGAATGTTCTCTTAAGAATGCTATTCTATAATGGAATGACCCATTGAATAGCATGGCGGCATAAGGCCAAATAAAATACGACAAACTTTGGCTGTTCTAGGTTTGCAAACGTTCTTAAATTACCAAATTGTGATGATGAAAAACTAAAAAATTTGCTTTTTAAGTGGTTCTCTTTTTACAGAAGGTCAACAACTAAAACTGTCTGCAGTTGTAGATGTAATGCACCATACAATAAATACTTAATCTTCGAGAGCATGAATTGGGAATGTGCCAATACATGCATGCATCTTCCCCAGGTTCACTTGACAAGGTTCATCACACCGGATGTAACGTGTCATGGGTCAGATTAACATCTCACAAAACCACCAGGTTCCACCAAGAAAATACATTGTATTAACAAAAAGGAAAAAAAAAATAAGAATGGTTTTTGACAAATGGCTGGGGGCTGCCCACAATGAAGCTAGGTATGAAGAGTTCAGCAACTCAACCAGGAGTCCTTTATATTTCTATTAAACCTCTAGGATGCAACTTAACTTACCTACTGGCAAATCTGACGCTGATGAAATCAGGAAGGAAAAAAGAAAATCCCTGTTCTAACAGCGAATCTGATAGAAAGCTGCTAAATAATAATCTTTAATTCATTGATACTTTACAAATAGGAAGTTTGCTGCCCAGAAACCCCCCCCCCTCCACCCCCCACAAAATAATTAATATCCCTGCAATAATAATTTAACAGTAGGTAAAATGCTATATTTGTAATTAATGTATGCCATCATCTACCTGTGATAAGCAATAGTCTTGGAATAGATCTAGAATGGTTTTGTTACTGTGAATTCTTCCAGGTGGTGTTATATCTTTTGGTTGTGCGCAGGTAATTTTTCCATAAGGTGTTTCTACAGAGTGGGAACTGGGACCAATACTGGCAGGCAGAGCAATGAGAGAAAATAATCCCACTCACAAGCAAATCGTGACATTTAATATAGAAAACAGTATTGTATTTGGGTAATGTGCCGGGGAGGCATGGGCATCCGCAGGAATTTATCCAGGTGGGAGCATAATTGTAATGAAATCCATGCTTGGTACCTTTTTGACAGTGTCATGAAAGGGAAGGGGGCATAGCCATTATCACATAAAGCCAGGGTGAATAGCGTTTTCACAACTATGGTGTCAGGAATATATGTTTGTATTCCTGACACTATAGTGTTCCTTTAAGCAAATTAAAGGAACATTCTGGTCACCATAACAACTTAATCTAAATGAAAATGCTATGATGCCAGGAAGCCCCTGGGTGCTCTCTTTCCTTTAAGGTGTTAAACCGCTCTCAAATGGTTTAACCCCAAAGGCTTCCTCCAGCTTCAGGTCGCTCAGTGGTATTCGGCATCTGAAACGGAGTGTCAGGAAGTGCAGATTGACGTCAGGCATGGGTGCCGCTGATTGGCTAGAGTGGACAGTTGACTCTCTAAGCCAATCGCCAGTTCCCGGTTCATAAGAGTGTTTTACTTTTTTATGAATGGGGAGCTACTGATTGGCTTAGAGTGCCAGCTGACCGCTCTAGCCAATCAGCAACACCCCTACCCAGCGGCACTCTGTGCTTCCTGACACTCAGTAAATTAAAGTGAACAGATTAACACTGATATTTCTTTTTACCTGGGGAGATGAGAAGGTCCAGAGTTTCCCTGCCAGGCCCAGGTACCAAAGCCTTATGATGTGGTGTCCAGAATAAAGTGGAGGGTTCACTTCATTTGTCCTTCCTGCTCCAATCTCCTTTTCTTCTCATTCATTTGACAGTCTTCTTTTTCTTCTGACACTGTCTTCTATATTTGGCTCCTTCTGCTCCTTTACCTTTCTGCTACTTTGTGCTTATTTTGTGCCCTTCTGCTCCTTTCTCATTCTGATTCCTTTCTGCTCCTTGCAGATCCTTTCTGCTCCTTCTTCTACTTTACCTTTGTGCTCCTTGTTGTCCCTTTCTGCTCCTTCTTCTACTTTACCTTTGTGCTCCTTCTGATTCTTTCTGCTCCTTTACCTTTGTGCTCCTTCTGTCCCTTTCTGCTCCTTGCAGACCCTTGCCTCCCCTGCTCCTTGCATACCCTTCCTGCTCCTTGCTGCCCCTGCTCCTTGCAGACTCTTTAGTTAGGCTGCCCCCCACCCCCCATGCCTCACTTGCCTAGTCTATAGGCTGCCCCCCCATACCTCACTTGCCTAATTTTTAGGCTGCTCCCCATGCCTCACTTGCCTAATCTATAGGTTTACCACCCATGCCTCATTTGCCTAATCTATAGGCTGCCCCCTCATGCCTCACTTGCCTAATCTATAGGCTGCCCCCTCATGCCTCACTTGCCTAATCTATAGGCTGCCCCCTCATTCCTCACTTGCCTAATCTATAGGCTGCCCCCTCATGCCTCACTTGCCTAATCTATAGGCTGCCCCCTCATGCCTCACTTGCCTAATCTATAGGCTGCCCCATGCATCACTTGCCTAATCTATAGGCTGCCCCCATGCATTACTTGCCTAATCTAGGCTGCTTCCCCCCATGCCTCACTTGCCTAATCTATAGGCTGCCCCCATGCCTCACTTGCCTAATCTATAGGCTGCCCCCCCATGCCTCACTTGCCTAATCTATAGGCTGTCCCCCAATGCCTCACTTGCCTAATCTATAGGCTGCCCCCCATGCCTCACTTGCGTAATCTATAGGCTGCCACCATATGCCTCACTTGCCTAATCTATAGGCTGCCCCCCCATCCCTCACTCCCCTAATTTATAGTCTATTTTAACCCCCCCATCCCTCACTTACCTGATCTGTAGGCTGTCTCTGTTGCCTGCATGTGCTGCTCCCCTGCGGTTTCAATCAGCAGAGAGAAGCAGGGATAAGATGCAGCTTAGCTTCCTTTCCCTGTCTCTCCATACACAGCGCCACCTACTGGCCGGCGCAGGTATTGCAGTTCATTTTAAATCTCACACGAAAAATAGCAGAACAAGCTGAAAACGTGCCCCCTGTTCCCCACCCTGCGGACGCCCATGCGGGGAGGTGCTGTCAATGCAAAGTGATTTAAGAGTAAACACCACAGAAGTGAGAAATGAGATTATAGGGGCATGATCTATACACCAAAACTACTTCATTAAGTTATTTTGGTACTTAGAGAAATCCTTTTAAGGAATATTCCAAGCACCATAACCACTACAGCCCGCAGGTAAGATCTCAAAGGGCATTACTGGTACTATAACCACTGTAGTGTGCTGTAGTGGATTTAGAGCTTGAAATTTTATTTTAAGTATTGTTTGACTTAGAGTTAAAGAAGCCTAGTAATTAATGTTTGTCGTCTTGTGAAATACAGCCGATTAATTCATTTATTTCTGTTTCTATTTTATACAGTAGACTAATTGCCCTGATTTCACAAGTATGACTTGAATAGGTTAGTTAATAATTAACAGGAAATCCAAGGTTAGGACTAGAAATTTCAAACACCAGGTGTTCCTTCATAATAATCAATCCATAAAAAAAGGCTTGCCACATATATACGTAAAAATTAGTGGTTACAGTATTAGTGAAATATACAAAACAGACTAAAATATAGTGAAACGCATTTACAGAAAAGAACAGAACAGAAGGGAGTGGTTGATGGTGGGACAGTAATGATGAAATACCTGACCTCGAGATTACCCCAAGAGAAACAATGACTGGTGAAGTGGAGTCTTAGCAATGCAGAGCATACAAAGATATATATCGCCTGCGTTCTACATACGGAATGTTTGCAAGTAGTGTTGCATCACAAGGTAGCAGTGAAAGGAATGTTACTTAGAGCTTACCTATTTCCATCACCTAGTATCAAAAGATATATACACAAGGGGGGTGGGGGTTGGGGCGGCTTTAAGACATGTTTTTTGTTCTCTTAACTAGGCTAACGTTGGGCTACAGTTATGGAGTCACTTGCTCCACGGTCTGCTAAATGAAAAACTACATGCGACGACTGCGAAGGCATTATCAGATCAAATGTTTATTTCTCAGACAACTTGTTTCATATATAAAATTGGTAAACATATATGATTTTGGGGCTGCAGCATTGGGTCACCATATTAAAGAGTTACTCTAGCCGTCATAACCACTACAGCCCACTGAACAGAATTCAGAGCATTGCCACCAGTTACCACGAAAATGCTGCCTTCCCCACTGGAAAACTGGGTAAAAACATACAAAAAATAAAAATTGTTTTATAGTGGATTGCCTATATTTTTTTGTCACTAAATCACATTTTTGTCAGTGTCTGCAGTGTCTGTCTTCTATCAAGTTATCTCACCTGTATGCCCAGCAAGCTGCACCCAACGCCTCTTAAATGGACTGATGATGGGAATATTCACAATAGTCCTGATCTTCTGCCACGGTTTATGCTGTAAGGAAATAAAGTTAAATTATTTTAGTACTCAAGTGGTCTGAGGTGTAACTATAGAAGTGTTCCAAAATACAAAGTATAAACAGTAATAATTTCCAAGTTTGTTCCCAAACACAATAACATTTATGTTCACACACATTAGAATATACTTTTACGGTGGCTCACCCAGAAAGAAATAGATAATGCTGGCTATTCTGTAGAATTTTTAGAATTAGCAAACAGAAAAACTATCACAAATCTGACTTTTGGGGTGGTTTTTTTTCCCAATTCAATTTTTTTGCAGTAGTTTCTTTCATTCTTTCATTGGGTGATGCTACTCACTTTTATCTTTAATAAGAAGAAAAAAAAAAAGTATTCCTAGGGTATGATAAGATTTTTTCTGAGTACACCAATAAAGCAATGAATATACTCCAAGTGTGCTGGATATTGGTATGGTTTATGATAAATGTTGGGCAAAGCCGTTGATCAGTTGCACCCCTTTTAACAGGAAGACTTTTAATGCATGTTCATTTATTTGGTTTATTCATTGGAATATGAACAATGTGAATTAAATGTGTTGAGATATCCAATTCAATTAATAGGTGTATTACGGCAACTTGTTCCACGTAATTCTTCTGACAAATATCTAAAACTCGCACCTAATGCTGCAAACCTCCCCGCTTTGCATTAATTATAAACATCTTCGCCATTGCTACTTTCTTGCCACAAATCACGAGAAGAGTATGCTCCTTGCAGAATAATATAGCCAATGTAGATCTAGCCATTACATACAAAGAGTTAACCATTCATTTCGGTATTATATTGCCAACTTCTCTTAGAGCCACCACTATTCAAGACAGTGCAAATCATTCTATTGACCACACCAGCATTGTTGTAATCTAGATCTGAAAAATCAACCACCAATTGTAATTGTACATGGTGTGTTAGATTGGATACGATATAAGAAAAAGAAGGGGGGAAAAGTGATGAATTACACAATTTGTCTCTTGCTTATAAAAGCATCCTAGTGCTTTTGTGTGTGTTTATATTTATGTAATAGAGCTAGCCAATATAAGTAGCATTAAACTTTTTATTTTTTTCCGGTTCTTGAATGCTGACCTTTAACGAATACAATTTGGCAGCACTAAATAGTCTGGTGGGCACGTGTTATATTTCTCACTTCTACATCCTCTAATTTTCTGTTAAGAAAGAGATTTGAGTATGACTAATGTGTTTCTTATTTTTGTACAATATTTCTTCCTCTCTCAAAATGTTATGTTGACATTTTAAAAAAAGAGTACCGGTAGTTCAACGAAGTAGAATCGTGTTAGCGTAAAGATTAACACCACTGATCTAGACATTATACAAAATGTGATCTTTTACGTTTGTGCTACATAACAGAAAATTAAAATAAAAATAATGCTAATCTATGTTGTCTACTACATCACTTGGAGTTTAATTCATCTTTTTGGAGAGAGGAGACATCATTGGGTATTTACTTCAAAAGGATTCAAAAGGAGTCATATGACTGTCTGGTCCCTCTGTTTTGTGTTCTGCCAAAGAAGTGGACTTCTCTGGGTGTCCACAAACCACATGCCTTAAACTTATGAATAACTTTTTTGATATTCTTGGATACCAGACAGATAAGGAGCACATAGACCGTAACGTAGATCACTCCTTAACAGTACAATATTCTGTTGTTTAAATGTCCAGGACACCCAGAGAGCAAAAGTAAAACACAGTTATTTTATATACCAATGACTTCACACAGTCATAGACACTAAAACCGGAAACATAAAAAACAAAACAAAAAAACAACAACAAAAACCCCCACAAACAAACGATAAAAGTCTCACTACAAACTACTTAAATATATATATATACAAAAAAAAAGAATTTTAAGCGATCCTAGCATCAATCACCAAAAAAACAAACAAACAACGCAATTAAGGAATACCATAGTATTGCTTGTACTGATAAAAAATAAATCATATAATACAATTTTCCATGACCTGTTTGTTATCATAGTTCAGTGCTTGTCACCAACAGATTACACGACCATAATCAGGTTATGCGGAAGTAGGAATCCCCAGCATGTGTTTGTCAGTGCAGGACGTAAACATTGTGACTGCTTGCAGCAAGAACTGGCTTCTTATTAAAGAAAGCAAATAAATACTAGACAATGGTTTTATTATGTGATAATCCTGGCGGACTTGGTCTCCATTGGGGTAGCTTAGCTGCTAGGACACCTCAAGTAACTAGATACTTTTACACAATTCATGCTGATCTGATGGATGCACAAACTATTACGCAGTTAAACAGAGAAGTAATAACACAAAGCGATTATTAACAGTAGATCTATCAAGCCTTGGTCGATAAAACAGGTTTTGTAGGGAAACAAAATGGCAATAAATCTACAAGGTTGAAAAAAAGTGTTATTGCCTTACAATACAACGTCTTTCCAAAACACGTCTTTGATTTATGTTGTCAACAAAACTAGTTTTGATGTGTTTGTCATTGAACAGTCAGAAAACGTGAGTTTAATAATGGATAGAGACACTCCCTCCCCCTCCCCCACTCCCCCAATACTGGGGCCTAAACCCTAGACAAAAGGATTGATGATGTACCAGATACCAAAGCATTTTAGTTACAAAGATGTGTAACAGTCATAAAAACAATTCTTCAAAAGGATTCGTCTCATCACTCTACTAAAGGAAATATCTTGTATATGCACAATTCTATCATCAACGAGCAGGGAATCCCTCTAATCTATGCTCGGGGAAATTCCCCCGAACATAAATTAGAGGGATTCCCTGCTCTCGTGCATTCATCTATGTTCGGGTAAGTTTCCCTGAACATAGACATGCGCACCAGAGCAGGGAATCCCCACGACAGCTCCCACTTAAACCTGGTCCTAAGTGCGAGCCGTCATAAAACAAGTAGGTCGCTAAATGAGGACCACCTGTATATGCAAACTGGTTGGAACAACATGTCAGTAGTATAGTACAAAACTAAAGTATGATCAACCATATCCCTGAAAGTAAAGAATATATATAACCCCCCCCCCAAAAAAAAACTAAAAACAGGGGGGCGGGGCCGGACCGCCATGCTGAGCGGTCGCACGATCGTGCAGCTCCTGCAATCTCTCCCAGTTTTAACACTAAAACTCGACTTTATACTTACCTAACAACTGGCAACAGCTACCCAGAGCAAGAAGCCACCCTGGTTCCGAGGAGAGGCTTGCTGCAAAGTTCTAGTCCCTCGGAGGGGCGCTCTCTCCGTCACCCACGATGGGGACCGCTTGGGCGGTGAGCGGGGTGGACGGCCGCTGCCCAGCTATCCTGCCCACCAGCGGTGAAAGCGAAGCATGAGGCTAGGGGGGTCCGGCCCTGTTCCCCCCCCCCTTTGGACCGGCGGGGGTGATCCCGGTCCCCACCCTGGGCCTGCCGACATGCGGAAGAACCAGCACCCCAGGCTGCTATAGAGCTACCCCAAAACGCAGAGACCGCAACCAAAATGGCGGAGACCACATGGCGAGCTACCCAAGCATGAAGGAAGAAACACGTCCCCACTGTACGCTGCCGGCAAGCCAACATGGGAAGCAAAGAAACAAGCAAGCATCCTGGGACAAGCTGAACCGTGGTGGAGAAGCTGGAGCCAGTTTATACCTCCGCAGGCATCATCACAAACAACGGGTGGAGACCGGCGCCTGCGAGCGACCACCCACACACAGTCAGGCACACTCACGGTGAGAGACGGAGCCTCGGCGACGGAGCCACACACGCTGACCCTCTCAGATAGCCGCGCAGAAGCGGGAACACGCGACCGACAGCACGCGACTACAAGATCGCACTGGAAAACAACATGGCGGCGGGGATCTGTCTCCTGCCCGAGGCAGGCGCTGGACGGCACCACAGGCACACCACAGGGGGACTAGCACACTGCCACTCGGCTGGACTGCAACTGACACGGCGGTTCCCGGGTTCCTGTGCCTTTGTACTGCATGGACGGGTCTCAAGCCACACAGCCAAGGACTTTCATCTTGCTGAAGTGGGCCTGGGGGGGTAAAAATAAATAAAACTCTCACGCATTTTTTATGGCTTAATCCGTGCATATGTAACCCGTTGACATGCTCACTATGTTGCATAAGTTTACCTACTTTCAAATTTACTCTGTTGTCTAGACAGCTAATCCTCTAATATTTAATAATGTGACACGCCAGAATAGCCTGTAACTCTAGCACAGCCTATTTACTTCTATGTGCCTAGCTTGTTACCTGTATCCTAGTATAGGTCTGTGCAGAACCAGTAAGAATGCCACATAGAATGATATTCCAGAATGCATACCCTACTAAGCAAAGTGCCCTACTAGACTCAGGGGATGAAAAGCGTCTACTATACTCATGTTAAATTGCATGTACTGTTGATTTCTACAACTATGTACTGTCTGGTAGAGCTGCATCTGGATGCCCTTCTGGATTAATTTGTCAAGCAACCTCTATGTCTTAAATTGTCTTAGATTACTGTCATGGCAATATTACTACAATCTGATGTGCAATTAGTTGAAGTTAAACGCAATTTTAACCAAGCATGTTATACCATAAAGCGACACCTATTAGCTTGTTATCTTTACGTAACGGAAAAAAAAAGTGCATTGTCTATCTACCCCCCACTGTAACTAATGTCTAGATATCAGCATATGGAATGCCGTTGGGGTACCATATGTATGCCTGTAACCACTATACGCACTGCAAAAATAAAGAATAAAAAAAAAAAAAAAAACCGAAAAACTAGTTATGAAAAGATCCTCTAAGAAGTCTGGAGGCAACATAATAGATCGTAAATTTTCCCCAAATAAAAATGTCAGAAAGAAGATCAGCTTTCAAGCTATTTATCTACATAACTAGAAATTCAACATTTGGATAACAGTGATTTAACTCAAGTAGAATCTAGAGTAAGCCAGGCAGTACGCTAAAGCGGGGAGCAGGTCTACATTAGACATAGGAGCTCAAGTAGAATGTAAGGCAAAATAATCTGTAGCCTAAAGCACAGAGCTGATCTGTACAATTCTAAACACACCACAAGCTTTTAAAATCAACAGAGATCGAGTAGACTATTCGCACTAACACGGTTACTAAGGTGAGAATTCAAGGTGAATTTCAAATTTAAGGTCAAAGTAGCCAAACTGTTAAAATTATCTAATTACCCTATGCTTTATATTCAGCTACTCTGGTCTTAAGTTATAAATTCACTTTGAATTCTCATTTTAGTGAAATGCCATGTAAATCATATCAGAAACATCAAAAAGAATATACAGATTTAACAACCCATGGGCAAGAAGGGTCTGCTTTACCTGGTACGTAAGAGCAAGAATAGGTGCTTATCCTGAGATAAAGTTGTAAATAAGGAGCAGTCACCATGGAAACCAGTAGAAAGATTCGAAACATTTAGTATCTTGCCCTCGGATAGCATCGGACCCATATTGCCAAATGTGCTCAGTCAACTCACGGACAGGACATACCTTACTTTCCAAGCTTTGGAATTCATGAATATCCATTACTGCAGATTCTAGCAGTTCTACTGTACTCTCGCTCTCCATTGCTGCATACTTCTAAGCGATCCGAGGAGCTATTACTGTCCTGACTGTATCCAGGATTACTCCGACTTCAATCAGACATTTCAATATATAACTTTTCCCCAGAGTCACATTTTAGCCTAAATGAGCCACTGCCAACTCAATATCTATTGTCCTGTTAATCAAGAATTCTAATTAGAAGACTATACACCAAGGGTTTAAACAGTCATGGAAATAGCTGAAACAAATGAGTACAGACCCCAAGTGTGGGGGGAGGTGGGGGGAAGAATAGGGCTCTATAAAATCTCATCACAAACTGAGAATGTAGAATACTTGAAAATGAAACAAATTGACAAGGACATATACCTGGGAAGTCATTTAAAAGTAGCAAGTAATGTTCTTCTATTTCCCATTTTATGTAAGTATTGACCCCATTTTTTACACATATACATTGCATAGATCAAAGCCGCAAATTCTACCAGAACAACAGGTGATTGAGGCACAGGCTCTTTCGTAGATATCCGTTTAGACACCAGAGGACGTGGAATTGCATGAACAGCTAAAGGATGCTCAGCTTTAACACGGCACTGTCACTTTAAGGGTGTTTGCTAAAGCAGCCCCTCAATGTGGTGTGCCTGCTAGAATTGGGGCTGAGGACAGAAACTAACCAGGTTATTCAATAAAGTGAGAATTCAAGTTGAGGTCCAAAGCATTTGAACTGGAAGCACAGCTGAATTTGAGATCTTTTTCCGGTACGGCGGTTTTCATTTTAATTATGAAATTCACTTTGAATTCTCACTTCAGTTAATAACTCCGTAAGAGGTGATATCCCTTTTGGGCATCACTATCTTCATTCCAAGGTCCATCTTAAGATCCTGGTCTGTCATTCTCCAAAAACCTGTGAGAATACAAATTAGATATCTATGGAAGAGTTTGCAAAGGCATGAATTGTCCAACAAACTTCTTTCCCACAGTCGCTGCAATTGAAATTTGTCAGTCAATATGAATTTAAAGACTCAACAGTTCCACCATCTTTTATCAAACAAGCTTAGAGAGCAGTGACCTGGTGCCTGAAACCCTGTTGAGATCACGTCTATATAATCTGGACAAATTTGCCCAAGTTTGGATTGCAATGATTGGATCGGAGTGGTGAAGGAAGGTTTGTTTAGCAACAACTTTACCAATCATTCTTAAAATGATAACAACATTGGAGAGAAATAAACCACAACTATAGGAGAGAGGTGGCACATGTATTCCTTCAAATGTAAAAATATTAATGTATATACATACAGAAATGTATTTCTCGATTGTGAATGGGCCTGCTCAGAGACATTAAAGGATATCTGTACTGTCTTATTTTTTTTATACCAATAGATTCTCTAGACATTTTTATCAATACATTGTGTTAGCGATTCTGCTAACAAATTTATAGCATTTCTAACATTTTATCTCTAATATTTCCTCCCTGGCAGACAGACTATTGGCGTTTAGTCACTGCGGATGTCTGTCTGCATTTAAGCCAGTCAACCCAAACACCGACATCCCAGCTCCAGCAATGAGACTAGATATGTTCCACGCGCGTCCCTCCTGTTCATGATGCTACCGTCATTTTTAACGAATAAGTGTCCCAAAGAGAGCCATTGCCCAGGGGATACTTCACGCCCGGAAGAGGAGGTGAGTATCCTTGAAAAACAGATGGACCTCCATTAGTACATACGGAGAAGAAAAAAACAAATGTCGGCATGCAGTCCTTTAATTCATTTTAGTTAGCGAAGTTCTAAACTCTGAATATATTGATTCACATTAAACCTGAAACTGGCTGTGGAGATAATAAACCAGCACCTTTATTTGGTCATTTCTTTCTTCATTGTAAATTTAATTATAAGCTAGAATTTCTTCTAACCATGGATGATTAAGTTTGATATGATACATAAGTATTTTGATATTATCGCATAAGTACTATTATTTTAAGTAACTCCTGCAGTTATAAAGACTTCATCTTAACCCTAACAAATGAGACAGAGACAGGTAAAAAAAAAAAAAAAAGACCCTGTGGGGAAACTCTCAGAGTTACGGTCTCTTTTCTGTATACAGGCAATACCGGTTAAGTAGCCATAAGAAATATAAACTAGTTTGTGATTTAAACATGTCCACAATAAAGATTACATCTGCAACAAAAATAACGTTTGTAATGCTAAGTGTAGGACACAAGGTACTTATATCTCAAAAAATGCCATTCCTTCGCCAATGTTGCACAACTCACACTTGCAGAAAATAAACTCCATTGTGTGCTTGTAAAAAGCATTTTTTAATCTGGTGGGTTTTTTGTTACTCCAGTTGTATGTAAATAACACATAGTATTGAAAAAGAACTAGTGGAATTACGCTTAAAAGAACACTAAAGTCACCCAGGTCACTTCATCTCAGTGAAGTGGTCCTGTAGGTTTAAACCTGCAATGTAAAAAGGCTGCTTTTTTTTTTTTTTTTTTTAAACATACCTCCAGTAGCGGTCACATGGCTGCAGGCCCGAAAGTAAAGCATTGATTCAATGCATGTTTGTATTCCTAACTCTTTTGTGTTCCTATAAATTGAAAAAACAATGGTGTCTATCTCAAGCAATGACAGCAGATTAGGTCAGTTTCATTCGTCCTAATTTTAATCAACTACCCGAAGCATTATATTTGGAGGAAATTAAATAATATCCTAGACAGATTCAGAGTTCTGTTCGATAATGGTGAGCTGCTTCCGAGCTTCATGCAGTTAGGCCAAACACCCTGGATCAGTAGCAGTTACTCAGTCTCTGTAGTGTATAACAGACATAATCAGGTTTATAGACGAGTAAACGTCCAATACAGGTCTTACAGTGATACAAAACAAATTTAAAAAAAAAAATATATATATATATAGTATTAAAATAGTGGCAAAGCTTGCTATTTGCCAGTCCGCCTGCCAAGAGTACACATGAAAAACAAACAAAGAAAAGAGAGCTCAAGAAACCATACACCATAAAAAATATATAATATTTCCCAATATATGCGGGTACTACGGTACAATAGTGATAAAATAAACAGAGAGCTTCAACTTAAGGAAATGACACATAGATTTCAAGAAAGAGGATATCGAATGTACGTCCTTGAAGAAGCTAAGGCTAGAGCTATCGAGAAATGGAGCCAGGAAACACAAAGTTCACCAAAGAAATTAAAAGTTGACAGTCCAAAGATCTATTTACCACTTACTTTCCATACAGGTTCTACACAAATTCGTCGTTCCATTGATAGACACTGGGATATGTTACGTGCTGACAAACAATTATCTCCTGTGTTTCAGTTGAAACCTACCATTAGTTATAAGAGGAATAAAAACCTAAGGGATATACTTGTCCGCAGTGACCCTGTACAGAACTATAAGAAGAACATCACACGAAGAAAATATGGATGTTTCAAATGTAGTGGCTGTGTCACTTGCAGTCACATGATCTCGGGCAATTCATTTGCTCACCCGCACAGTGGAAAAAGAGTCACCATTTCACATCATATTACATGTACCACTGATCATGTAATTTATCTTATCACATGCCCGTGCGGATTAGCATATGTTGGGAAGACGGACCTTACCCTTAGAGACCGTATCCGAGGACACAGGTCGGGTATCATGACAGCTTTTAGGGACCAAAAGACAGACAAACCAGTGGCTAAACATTTTTTAGCTGCGTCACATAGACTTCCAACACTTAAATTCATGGCTATAGACCATGTACCCCCCTTATCCCGTGGGGGTGACAGGTCTAAAATATTACTTCAAAGAGAAGCCTATTGGATTTTTAAATTGGACACTGTCACTCCTAAAGGCTTAAATGAATATAATACTTTCTCTATGTTCTTATGATTCATTCATCTTATATTCACCTGCATTTTCATTGTATATATGCTGTATATGTAGAAAGTTCTGACTTTGAATTTGGTTCATTTGTTTTCAATTAATATATATGTTGATATATCCCTGCAGATGTATATATAGGACAGATCTGTTTGCATGTATAAGGGATCTCTTCTTTTGTCACTCAGTATAGTGCACATAGTATCTATATATGCTATCTATACATATTATTTATATTTTTTTGCAGATGCACATATACCTATCTGCTTATACAATACTTGTTATTTCTCTTTCTTTGGATTACTATATATATTTCTATTAGTATTTACTATATCTGAGCATTACACTCATCTGTGCTATCCCTGTATGGGGCTTGCAGTGCTTCTCGAGCAGTTTATTTAATTCTTCTTTCCTCCATAGTTGCTAATAGTTATAATGTCAGATAGATCACCTTTTCAGTGATCTTCTTTAATCACTTTAGCTCTCACGTTGTAATTTGTATTACACGCTCACATATTTGTATATTTTCGTTGCTTAGCAACGTCATAATCACGTGCGTCATCACGCCGGTCACGTGGTGTACACTGTCTCACTTCCGGGTTCGGCACGAACAGGGAATCTTCCATACACATCTTGTTTGGTAAGTGTCTATTGATATTTTTCTATATATTTGGATTTTCTGGCACATTATATTGATCTTGAAAAAGACCCTTTAGGGGTCGAAACGTCGATTCACTTGCAGATTTTTTTTGCACATGTATTTTTTGCATGTAAAATAAAATTGAATATATTTTAAGACCTGTGAGTGCACCTCCTGTTTATATTTTTATATGCATAACGCTAAGGTTAGCACCCAGGCAAGAATTATTTGCTTTTTCAGTAAAGGGTGAGTGCCAAGCTTCATTTCTTTTTATATATATATATATATATATATATATATATATATATATATATATATATATACACACTGTTGATGCTCTGTTTATACACTTGTTAATTCATTGTTCTCTTTTGTTTTGAACACAGCCTCATGTTTTCAGTACGTGCTATTTTGCGGTAAATAGTTTCTTTGCTTAGAACAATTCCAGAAAGCTTAAGTTAAAGGACCCCTCTAGGCAACCAGGCCACTTCAGCTTAATGAAGTAGTCT